GCACTTTGCTAAGTGCTGAGGATGCAGCCCCTGTTTGTCCCCTCCAGACCTCCCTATTTCTGTAGATGGCAGCACCCTTTCTAGGTCTCCAGTTGACGGGGTCCGGGCCCAAGCTGAGACCTTTGCCCCTTACACCAAAAAGAATTTGGGTCCCATTTGTTTACTGGCCCTAGAACACCCCACCTTGGACTCTCCTTGATCACTCCCACTTGATCAAGGAAGTCTCTATTGCCTGAGGCTATAACCCTATCAACTGGCCTTTCATTATCACCTACACTCAAGCTCCCAATTCTCTGTTATCCAGAACCTAGCCCAGCCCTCCACTATTACCTCCCGATGGCCCCCAGCTACTTCCCACCCTAGATCCTCCCTAGACTCTTCCTCCAGCCATTTCAGCCTACTGGGCTACTTCCATCAAGATCCTCCCTAGACCCTTTCTCCTAGACCCCTCCTCCAGTCTCCCCAAACTACTTGGCCATTCCTAGATTCCTCCCACAGTCTTTGTGTATATAAGGCCCGTCTTGTCTCCATTAAGATGCTCAGATCCTTAAAATCTAGCCAATGGCCGATACTCTAGCCTGCTTGTCGATGGGAGCACAAATGTTTAGATTCCTTAAGAGTCTGGCCAATATGGCAGATCTTCAATAAACCTTGTCTTTGGCTGAAAGAAGGCTTGGGTTGAATACATTCGGGCAGGATCCGTGTCTCTTGCTCTCGATATTTTGGGGTCCCAGCACCCCTAAACTTCAACACAGTAATCCTTGGAGTCATCCTTGACTCCTCATTCTCTTTCACTCCACACAGACCCTATATGCAATCGGTTGCCAAGTCTTATCTATTCTACCCACACAACATCTCTTCCATTTCTCCCCTTCTCTCCAATTATACAGGCATGACCCTAGAAGCTCATCACCTCTTTGCTGTACTACTGCAGTAGACTGCTAATTAAGCTCCTTGATTTCACTTTCTCTCTTCTCAGCCATCCTCCACAAAGCTGCCTAAATAATCTTGCTAAGACACAAGTCACTCTCCTGCTTTGAAATCTTGGGTGGTTCACTAACATCTCTAGGATAAGATAGGCCTATCTTGGCTTGGCTTTTAAAGCCCTCCACAATCTGGCTCTACCAGAACCTACCTTTCCTGTCTTTCATATATACTCTTTGTGAATTTTGCTCTGTGACCGAATGGCTGAGAATGGCTGTTTCCCATTTTGACTGGACTAGCCTCCAACTGCCTATTAGAAATTGCCTTCTCATCGTTCCATGAACCTCTTAAACTGGGACCATACTGAACCAACTCATCATCTGCCCTCCTAAACCTACCCTTTCTCCTAACTTCCTTATTCTGTCAAAGGCACCACCATTATCCCAGTCACCTGCATTTGCAGCCTAGGAGCCAGTCAGCTGTGAGGTTTTGAGGACTCCATTTCTACAATGTTTCTCTTTTCTTTCCTCCCTCACCACTCACACGATAACCTTGACTCAGGCCTCTGTCATCTCTTATCTGGACTCTTTTGTTGTCTTGCAATCTAAGCCATCCTCTACCCAGCTACAGAGCTGATATTCCTAAAGCAAGTCACTGCCCTGATTAAGGTGGTTCCCTATCACCTCTACGATGAGTGAAATCAACATACCAAAACCAGCCTACAAAAACCAACCTACCAAAAAGCATTTAGTCAGCAATGTGCTGAAGAAACAAAGAAAGGCAAATGTCCTCAGGGAGCTAACATTCTAAGGGAGGAGGCAACATGCAAACAACTATTTACTTACAAGATATATCCAGAATAAATGAGAAATGATCACCGAGGGAAGGCACCTGCACTGAGGGGATTTAGGAAAGGTTCAGGCAAGGGGGAGGGACAGCCAGTGAAGAGGCAAACAGAGTCGAGTCGAGAGATAGAAAGTCATGTGGGGAGAAGAGCAGGAGGACAAGTATTGTTGGACTGTAGAGTCGGTGGTAGGAAGGAAAATGTAAGAAGTGTGGGAAGGTAGGAAAAGCGTGGGTTGTAAAAAGCTTTAAAAGCTGAACAGAGGATCTTACATATGACATAGTGGAGGTGTTGGGAGTCCCTGGAACTGATGGGGCAGCTAGGTGGCTCAATGGATAGAGCACTGCCCCTGGAGTCAGAAAGACTCATCTTCCTCAATTCAAATATGACCTCATACACTTAGTTGTGTGACCCTGGGCAAGTCACTTAACCCTGTTTGCCTCAGTTTTGCCATCTGTCAGATGAGCTGGAGAAAGAAATGGCAAACCATTCCAGTAGCTTTGCCAAGAAAACCCCAAATGGGGTCATGAACAATTGGACATGATTGAAATGATTGAACAGTAATAATAGGAATTGATTGAGTTAGGGATGGGTGACACGGTCACACCTCGGAGTACACGGAGGATCGCTTTGGCAACCAAAAGGAAGATGGGCTGGAGTGGGGAGAGCCCACCCAACAGGCTATTGCAACAGTCCAGGTGTGAGGAAGTGAAGGCCTGAGCCAGGATGGAGGCTGTGTCACAGGAGAGGAAAGGGCATGGAGTTTAATGTGGTGCCTGGTACACAGTGCACGCTTAATAAATGTTTATTATTGACATACAGGAGAGGTGTTGTGGAGGTGAAAAAGACACGAATCGACAACAGATAGTGAAGAATTAAGCATGACATCTAGGTTTGGAGCCTATGTGACTCAGAGTATAGTGGTACCTTGACAGTACCAGAGAAGTTAGAAAGGAGGGAGGGGTTAGGGAGAAAGAAAATGAATTCAGTTTTGAACACATTGCGTTAAAGATGTTTATAAGACATCCAGCTGAAAATGTCTGTGCAAAGAGACTGTGTTCTAATCTCTCTTCGTGGGGGGGGCCAAGCTGGATTGTTATAATTTCACTGAATTCATTTTTTCCTCATTGTTCTTCTTTCCATTTACATTATTGCAGTCATCATGTCTATTGTTTTCTTGGTTCTGCTGACTTCACTTTGCATCAGTTCATGCAAATGTTCCCATGTTTCTCTGTATCATTCATAGTCATCATTTCTTACGGTGCAATAATACTCTTTTATAGTCATGCATTAACAGGCCTGCCTAGTGGTTTCTTGAAGAGTAGGTGCTTAATGTTTGTTGAACTGCATTGAAGGGATACATCTAGGGTCGTCTAGATATTTACTAGCAAAGCCAGGTCTAGAACTCCATCTCTTTCCTCCTAATCCAGAGTTCCTTGCACGATGGACGTCAGGCTGCCTCAGTGAACTACCTACCTCATAGTACTGTTGGGAGGAGAGTGCTTTGTAAGCCTCAAGTAGGCTATATAAATATAATTATTATGATAAGACTAGATGATGACGGAAGCGCAAGTTCTCCTATGGTCATGTTATCATTCTATCTTGTTTACTGACGTCCTCTAAGAGCATAGGACCATAGAATGTTAATCGTTTAAAGGCACTTAGGTCATCCAATCTGGCCTCCTCATTTTAGGGTAGAGGGAATGGTGGCTTCGATAGGAGAAGCAAGTTGTTCAGGGTCACACAGTACTGTCAGTGGTGGAGCCAGGAAGACCCTCGGTCTCCTGACTGTCACTTAAGTACCCTTTGTAATACTTCGATGCTGTCTCTTTGAGAAAGCTCTTCTCATATTTATATATATATGTATGTATATATGTATACACACGCACACACACACACACACACACACACACACACACACACATATAAAATCTCCTTTGGTCCTCACAACAACTCTGCTATAATTATCTCCATTTTAGAGAGGAGGAAATTAAGGTAGAGGGAGGCTGACATGCCTGGAGTGACATAGTTATCTGAAGGGAGATTTGCACTATGGGTAGCTAGGGGTGCAATGTATAGAGCTCATCTCCCTGAGTTCAAATTTGGCCTCAGAAATTTACTAGCTGAGTGGCCCTGGACAAGTCACTTCACCCTGTTTGCCTCAGTTTCCTCATCCATCAAATGAGCTGGAGAAGGAAATGGCAAATCGCTCCAGTATCTTTACCAAGAAAACCCTAATGGGGTCACGGAGAGTCGGACATACAACAACCTCCTGACTTAGGGTCTACTAGTGGGCTGATAGACCTTACCCAGAATTCCCTGTTCCTGTAGCTTTGACATTTCTATGTGTCCCAGCTGCCTCACTGGTTATAAGATCATATTTCTAGAGCCGGAAGGGACCTCAGAAGTTATCTAATCCAACTCCTTCCTTTTACAGATGAGGAAACTGAGGCCCAGAGAGGTTAAGGGACTTGCCCCGGGTCATACAGGTAATGTGCATCAAGGGCAATATTTGGACCCCAAGGCCTTATATTCCAATCAGTTTCTTTTTTTTTTACACTGCAGAGGCCTTCTTCTGTCTCTAATTAATGTATCTTTAAGCTCAAAATCCTATGGGGGAAGTTGGAAGTGGTAGGGTTGGGGAAAGCCCCCCTTTTCCCCCCAAAAATAATGAGAAAAGAATATAAGAAGGGCTAGAAGGAATCACTGGCAGCTTTGAAAGTTACTTGTTTAATTTATGACACACTTTTTAAAAAGCAATCTGCCATTTCAATATCTCTCAACTTCTGCTGTACAAATGCTCATTTTATTTGAGGTTTTTAAATTCAGAATTTTTAAAAAATGACCTGGGGAATCATAGATCCAGAGCTGGAAGGTATTCCTTCCTTTTGCAGAGAAGGAAACTGACAGAAGGCACTAACAGGCAGAATTAGAATTCACATCTTTTTCCACTATTCTGTACTGTGGGCATGCAGACCGCTAACTTGCCTGGGCCTGGGCTTCTCATCTGCGAAATGGGGCGAATAAAACGTTTGCTTGTTTGTTTTTTTAAATCTCCTTCCTCCAAAAAGCCAGGGGAGGGCCCCGCCCCCGGAGACATGCGCACAACCAGGCGGGCCCGGGGCTTTAACCGTTCCGGAGGGGACGGAGCGCAGCTGGACGCGCGGCTCACTCCGGTCCCGGGCAGCTAAGCGCGCGCACCCAGGTCTCCACGGTCCGGGACCAGGAGCGCGGGCGCGTGAGCACCATGGACGCACCGAGCCTCGGGGAGCGCGCGGCCAAGGCCCCCAAAGAGCCCGCGGGGAGCGGGGCCCGACTCTGGCGGGGGTGGGGCCCCGTGGAGCTAGTCCTCTTCTTAGCCAACTTCTCGCTGGCCTTGCAGCGGCCGCTCACCACCCAGTACCTGTGGCACCGCCTGGGCGCCGAGGTGGGCTACAACGGCACCAGCCGGGGGGGCGGCTGCAACGACAGCGCGGACCCCAAGCAGCAGGTACCGGCCGGACGCCGCTGGCTTGGAAGTGGGGAGCTGGGAGGGTCGGGGGACGGGGCCTGGGCAGAGGGGGCGGGGCCCAGGCTGGGAGAGCTACCGAGGGGGCGGAGCCTTGAGCAGGGAAAGTGACAAAGGCGGGGCCTGAGCAGAGCGAGTGATCCGTGCAGAGGGGGCGAGGATGGAGCCAAAGGGGAAGGGGCCTGATCTGTCAGTTAATAAGCATTCATTGAGGACTTGCTACGTGTCAGCTAAGAGCTGGAGATGACAATAAGGCAAAAAGCCCCTGCCCTCAAGGAGCTCGCAGTCTAATGGGGAAGACAATATACAAATTACTATGAACAAGTAAGCCATGGAAGGGATAAATAGGAGATAACAGAGGAAAGGCAGGCAGTAGAATTAAGAAGCGTTGGAAAAACTTACTGTAGAAGATGGGGCTTTAGTTGGCACTTGAAGGAAGCCAGGAGGCCAGGATGAGGAGGGGGAACTCTCCAGGTATGGGAAACAGCCAGAGAAAATGGCCAAAGCCAAGAGATGGAGTCGCTTGTGTTAGCAGCAGCATGGAGGCCGGTATCACTGGATGGAAGAGGAGGGGGTGCTTTGTAAGAAGAACCTACCCCGCCTTCATCCTCCTAGTCTTCTTCCACCAAGGCAGGAGAGTGTTGGATCTGAGGAGAGGGTCTAGGAGTGAACCGTGGAGGAGTGGCCTAAGGGAGTCAGGGCCTGGAGAAAGCATTTAAGAGGTGGAGCTTAAGAGAGCGGCAGCCGTGGTCTTAGGAGACCTCGACGGGGCTCTGCCTGGGAGACTGAGCCTGCCAGAGAAGTCTTGAACTAGGTTTTAGTCTGAGGGGAGAGAATGACTTAGTGGGTACGGTTAGGGGGAACGGTCAGGGGTCTGGAGAACCACTGAGTACCCTGCTGCTGGGTAGAACTGGAAAAGGAAAGACACCTAGGATCAGATTTGGAACTGGAAGGTGCCTTAAGGTCATCTGGTCTGTCTCATTTTACAGTTAAAGAAACTGAGGCCAAGGGAGCGGCTAGATGGCCTTGGAATCAGGAGGACCTGAGTTCAAATCTGGTGTCAGACACTGACTGTGTGACCCTGGGCAAGTCACTTAACCCCAGTTGCCTAAAAAAAAGAAAGAAAGAAAGAAAGAAAGAAACTGAGGCAGACAGAGAGAGGGGCAGGGGTCAGGTAGGTCAGTCTTCGAACCCCTATCCTCTGACGCCAAATCCAGAATGCTTTCTGTTGTAGTAAGTGGCTGTATTTGGAGTCAGGAGACCTGAATTCTAATCTTGCCTGACACTCATTAGTTATTTGATCATGGGCAAGTGACTTCATCTGTCTGAACCTGTTTCCTCTTCATTATTTGTAAAATGAGGTTGATAGTACCAAGAGGCGCCATTGGCCTAGTAGAAAGAAGGCCTGCTTTGAATCCCTGCCTGGGTGCCTCTGAACAAGTTTCTCCTCTGGAGTGAAGTTTCACGGTCACAGAATTTGAGAGTTGGAAGGGGCCCACCTCAGCAGACATCTATTCCAACCTCTATATAGAAAGGAATCTCCCCTATGATTGATATATATGTGTGTGTATGTGTATTAAATATATATGTGTGTATATATATGTATATATATATACACACCCCCCCCAACAAATGGTGCTCTGACTTCTGCTATAATTAATAATAGTAATGATAATGAGCATTTATATAGCACTTTGATTCTCCAATAACCCTGGGAAGTAGGTACTATCATCATTTTACATATCAACATTTTTACAGTTGAGGAAACTGAGGTTAAGTGACTTGCCCAGGGTCAAACATCTAGTAAATGTCCGACTTAGGTCTTCCTGAATTCAGCCACGTTGCTCTATCCACTGAGCCACCTAACTGCCCTCCTGTACACCCATCATCACCCATCATCACCTGGTTCTGCCCTCTGAGGATAAAGAGAGCAAGCCTGGTCCTTCTTTCACATAATAGTCCTTTGAGTACTTGAAGACTTCTCTCCTTTCCTCTGAATTTTCTCTTTTGCAGACACCCCTCCCTGTTCTCTTAGCCATCGTCCATGCCAAATGGGCTCTAGAACCTTCACCATGCTGATCACGCTTCTTCGTTTTGTTGGGATCATTTTGAAGCTGTGGCCCACGGAACTGAGCACTTTATTCCACATCTGGCTTGTGGGCTAGGGCAGGCTTCAGAGGGACTGCCACCTTTTATTTGTGGAAGCTCTGCTCTGTGAAACTGCACGGTGGAGAGGGCTCAGGGATGGAGTCAGAGGCCTTGGGTTTGAATCCCCCCTCTCACAATTCCTACCTGGGTGACCTAGACCTTGGGACTTTACCTCTGCTCCTTGTTTACCTTATCTGTAAAATGACCAGGCTAGACTTCATGACCTAGAAGGTGCCTTTCAGTTCTTAGGTCAGGAAACTTAGCGTCTTAATGTGACCCAAGATCAAATTCCTTTTTTAGATGCCACATCACACTGGCTGCTCATATTTAGATTGTGGTCCACCATAATCCCTAGATTTTTTTTTTCAGACAAACTACTGTTTATCTGTACTTTTGTGGGGTGTGGTCAGGAGTCGGCTCTGGACTGAGGGAACTGAGAGAGGAAAATGGCCGTTAGAATGACTCTTAAGGGTCCTGGCTTTGGGGGATGGGTGGGTGGATGGTACCCACAGAGGGTCAGGCTTGGGACTTGTACTAATAGAGAATTATTGAGGCATATGGCCGGGGTAGGGCCTAAGAAGAAGGAGGGCTAAGAGGCAGAACTATGGTATGGGAAGCCTTGGAGTTGAGGTTTGAAGGGGGTCAGACATATAAATTAGGGAGACGAAGAATAACTCAGAGGAACGTAGGGAAGGATTTGGAAGGGAGAATTCCTTGCCCATCCTCTGCTCTTGAGATCTCCTTGATCTCAGGTAAGTCACTTTTCCTAGTTGGACCTCACTTTCCTCCTCCGTAAAATGGGGGGAGTGGGCTCAGTAATGGATGAAGCCACTTTCCACCTTCCGGCTGATAATTCTCTCCCTACCTGTGTCCCGGGGAAGGACTGAGCTCTGCAGCCTCGGCCTTCAGCATATGAGTGTCCGGGGGTGGGAGGGTCGCGGTTACTGGACTGAGTAGGCCTGTGTCTGTGCAGGAAGTGGAGACCCTGACCTCCCACTGGAATCTCTACATTGATCTGAGCGGCTTCTTCGTGGGGCTTTTCTCGGCCACCCTCCTGGGCCCGTGGAGTGACCGCGTTGGGCGGCGCCCGCTGCTGGTGCTGGCCTCCTTCGGCCTGCTCCTTCAGGTCATCGTGTCCATCCTCGTCGTGTCCCTGGAGCTCCACGTCGGCTTCCTCGTGCTGGGTCGCCTGCTGAGTGCCTTCCTGGGGGACTACAATGCCCTGCTGGGCACCGGCTTTGCCTCCGTGGCCGATGACAGCACCCCTCGCACCCGTACCTTACGCATAGCCGTGTTGGAGGCCTGCCTGGGGATATCCGGCATGTTGGCCAGCATAGCAGGGGGCCACTGGATCAAGGCCCAGGGCTACACCAACCCTTTCTGGCTGGCGCTGGCCATGCTGATCACCACCACGCTCTACTCGGCGTTTGTGTTCCGAGAGTCAGTGCCTAATCCGCAGAAGGCTTCTCTCTTCACTCTCCAGCATTACCGCTTGATATTCCGGCTCTTTGCATCCCCTTTCCCGGGGAAATCCAGGAAGCATTTGGCTCTCTACCTGCTGGCCCTCTTCCTGGTGCTCACCATTCATTATGGAACCTGGGACATTGTGGTCCTGTATGAGCTAAGCTGGCCTCTCTGCTGGGGCTCCGATCTGATTGGCTACGGCTCAGCTGCCCAGCATCTCTCCTACCTCGTCGGCCTGGTGCAGCTGTGGGTCTTCCAGCTATGCCTAAAGGACAGCTGGGTGGCAGAGATCAGCCTCGCCTTCAACATTGTGGGAATGGTGGTGTTTTCTCTGGCCAAAACCACGGCACTGATGTTTACAGGTGAGCCCACGTGGACACTACTGGAGGGCTCACTACCACGTCCCCGGGGGAGCCCGCCAGGGCCTAGTGGTTCCTTTCAGAATCCTGCCCCCACCAAGAGAACTCGTGCAGTTTTACTGAAGGGCATATGGGTCCTATAGTAGAGACCTTGGACTGACAAGAAAGCTCCCAGGAATGAGGAGGAGGAGGGCAGGGATATTTAGGTTAAGGACTAGAGCCAACATTTCATTGCCCTAGCGAATTTCTGAGTGAGGAAACTCTGTCTGCCCATATCTTAGAGTCTTTAGGAGTTGTCCAGAGTACAGAGAGGTACCGAGACTGATCAGGGTCACACAGCCAGAGTGGGTCAGAGGCAGGACCAGAACCCGGGTCTTTGGGCTTCCAGGCTGGTTCACCTCCCTCTCTTCTGCCTTGTCTCTCAGCTCAGTCCTTATGTTGGACATCTGGGAGCTAGGCTGCCATTCCCTGATGTACCTGTGGCTGACGTGTTTGGTTTTCATCTCCCCACAGGGTATGGGATCCTCTCTTTCTCGTTGGTGGTTACGCCAGTGATCCGAGCCAAGCTCTCCAAGCTGGTGAACAAGACAGAACAGGGTAAGGAATCTGGGCTCTTCCTGATTCGTGTGGGCCCCCTATGTCCTGTGAGCTGGGCAGGGGGCCTGTCTATCCCCTCTCACAGCAACAGGAAATAATAACCTAGAGTTATTGTTATTCAGTTGTGTTGGTCAGCCCCATTTGGGGTTTTCTGACAAAGATATTGGAGTGTGTTTTGTGTTTCCTTCCAAGTCTTTTTTTGTTTAGTTGTAGTGTGTGTGTGTGTGTGTGTGTGTGCGTGTGTGAGAAAAAGTGTGTGTGAGTGCTAAAGAATGTGTGTGTGAGAAAGTGTGTGTGCGTGCATGTGTGTGTGCACCTGTGTGAGAAAGAATTTGTGTTTGCATGCGTGCATATATGTGCACACACATGCACACACGTGTGCTCATGCATATGGTTTAAGTTCCTCTCTTCTCTCATTCTGTCACTTAGTCCTGGGTGTCCCTAAAGTCTTCGCTTAAGCTTTAATAGCTCCAAACTAAACTAAGACTTTTGGAACACCCTGGATAGAACTTTCCATATGTCCTTGTCTTCATATTTATCATTAAGAAAGTATATATACATATATATATAATACATCTATCTATCTATCTATCTATGTATATATATATATATATATATATATATATATATATGTATATACCTACACATCTCCAAATTGCTTACTGTCTCAGGGAGGGGTAGGGGAGGAAGGTAATTTGGAACTCAAAATTTTTAAAAACAAATGTTACAAATTGTTTTTGCTTGTAATTGGGTAAAAAAAAATATTCAAAAATACATCTCATTACGTGAATGCATCAGGGGTGATACTCATCCATTCCCTTGTCATTGGACCGACAGGCTACTTCTAGCTTATTGTTGCCACAACTGAACTGACCTACTAGTGGCTCTCTGCTCGTGGGCGGGCGGCGCAGAGATGCTTTGTCCTGGCGGGCGGCCCCCAGGCGACTGACCCTAAGCCATCTCCAGGAGAGAATCCTGGTCTGAAGAAGTAGCACTTCTAAGCGGCACTTCCTGGGCTGCCGTGTGATGCTGGGGGAGGAGAGAGGATGAGTCTCCTTCCGGGCCTTTCTTTTGGTTCCCAGGGGCAGATGGTGGGGAGTGACATTCCCCGTGGGTGGTCATTGGCCTCAGATCACGGCAAGAGAGAGAGTAGATTCATTTGGGGTTGCTTTAAAGGCAGGCTTTGGCCGGTGGTTGGATATCAGAAAGGGGTAGATTTTAGCTGAGCTGAGAAAGGACTCCAGAGCAGAGCTGACCAGTAACAGAATGGGCTGCCGCCAGTGGGAACGCGCTCCCTGTTGTTGGAAGCGTTCAGCTGGAAGCTAGAGGACCGTCCGTCGGGAACGCGATAGAGAGAATTCCCGCCTTCAGCATCCGCCTCCGGTATCCTTGGATGCTGTAATTCTTTGATTCTTTTTCCTCCTCACCCCAGGAGCTCTTTTCTCGTCCATCGCCTGTGTGAGTGGGATCTCCATGCTATCAGCAACGGGAATCTTCAACTCCCTCTATCCAGCCACCCTCAACTTCATGAAGGGCTTTCCCTTTCTCCTGGGAGCGTTTGTTCTTCTCATCCCGGCCATTCTGATTGGGTAAAGCAGTTTTCCCAGTCGTGTACCCATTCTATGGATTTGACTGGTGTGAAGAGAGGTGTATTTTAGGTCTTTTCTTACATCGCCTTCAGCTGGAACAGGAAATCTGCTTGGCCCTGACTCACCAAACCAGTGTCTCTCTGACCTCCCTGAGGTCCCAGAGCACTGGATTTTGAGTCAGGAAGACCTGAGTTCAAATCCCACGACATATACTTAATAATTGTGTGACTCCAGGCAAGTCACTTTCCCTCTCTGGGCTTCAGGTAACTTCCTTATCTGTAAAGTGAGCTGCCTTGATGGCCTCTCAGGGCCCTTCCCACTCTGAATGTTTGATACTGTGATCGAGGATTCCCTACTGTTTGGGCACCTTTGTACTCCAAAGGTCACCTTGTGCCTCTTCCCTGGCCAGCGAAGGTTGGGCACCTCTGGGGGCAATGCCCACTGACAGGCCAGGAGTGGAGGCTGATGGTTCTCTCTGCTTGCACGAGTTTCTGGTTGTTTTTTTGTTTTTTCGTTTTTTTTTTTGTGAGGCAGTTGGGGTTAAGTGACTTGCCCAGGGTCACACAGCTAGTAGGTGTTACTTGCACAAGTTTCTGAGCCTGTTCTGATGCCTCATGGTGGTGTGGAGATGCCCTGGATTCTTTTTTTTTTTTAAATAAAGGATTTTGTGAGCTATTTTTTTAATTAATTTATTTTTAGTTTTCTTTTCTTTTCTTTTTTTTAATTTTTAGGCAATTGGGGTTAAGTGACTTGCCCAAGGTGACACAGCTAGTAAGTGTCAAGTGTCTGAGGCCAGATTTGAACTCGGGTCCTTCTGACTTCAGGGCTGGTGCTCTACCCACTGTGCCACCTAGCTGCCCTGACCCTGGGTTCTTGAAAGCCTTGCCGGGAGAGTCCAAGGTCGCACATCTTTCTGAGCTGGAAGAGCTTTGCAGTATAGACTCAGCCATGAACTATGTGTCTGTTGCCTGAGTTTTCAGATGACCTAAGCTTGTTCCTCTCACAAAGGGTTGTGATCAGCTTCAGTGAAGGGACTTCCCAGACCGGTGAAATAATGGGAAGAAATTGCTTCTTCCTGTTTTGGTTACTTCCCCTCCTCCCTCCCTCCCCCTGCTTCACAGCTAGAGAGATGGAGAGAACGGGCAGGGGGAATGCCAGGGGTTCAGAGCCCTGAAACTCTTTACTTTTGCCAGCCTTCTTATTTTGAGCAGACTGGCTTTGTTGATTTCCTTCTCTGCCTGGGCACTGTTCCCCTTGTCCACAGGGGTGGGCCTTAGACAGGGCAGCCCCAGGGTTGTGTAACTTCTCCCAGAGGGTAGTTCGGGTTGCCCAGATCAGGCCTGAACCACTTCCTTCTGTTTTCACAGGGTGCTGGAAATCTTTGACCCTCGACCTGAATACCAGCAAACACTCCACTGAAGCCCCCTAACCCACCCTCTGAGACCCAGCAGGAGAAGAGGTGGAGCAGATTCTGATCGCTGCTTCAGCAAATGAGAACAGAGGGCAAGACGGGGCTTGGCAGCTGGACAAGTGTGGACTTCTACCCCAGAGGGCTTTACCCCAGGCCTTTCTGTCCTCAGAAGAGACAAAGTCAGACTAGTTGGTTAGGTAGAGTCAGACTGGCCTTGGGCAAAATGGTGTGGGGGACAAACCTCCTTTTTTTTTTTTAAAGCAAAACTGGAAATATTAAGAAATAACATTTCTCTGACCTAAAAATCCTCTGCAAACTTGTCTCTTTAGGGAAATGGGTAGAACAAAAGCCTTTCTGAGGGAAATGGATCCAGATTCAGGACCGTTGTTGCGTCTGTCTCTTTGTGACCCCACTGGGGGTTTTCTTGGCAAAGATACTGGAATGGTTTGCCATTTCCTTCTCCAGCTCATTTTACAGATGTGGAAACTGAGGCAAATAGGGTTTAAGTGACCAAAGTCATGCAGATAGTAAGTGTCTGAGTCTGGATTTGAACTCAGGTCTTCCTGACTCCTGTCTCGCTGCTGTATCCATTGCTGGTGCCTAGTTGCCCCAGGACCATAGCCAAACAACTCTTATCTACAATCATTGCCTTCCCTATCCCTGAAGGTATAAGACTCACCATAGGGAAATGCTTTCAACTCCTCTGAAAGAAGAGAGACCTTTCTCCTCACATTCTGGTGAGATTCTCCCTGTGGATCTCTGAGAGGAGACCCATGGATTCCTTGAAGGGAGTAGGCCAAGGAGGCGATAACATTGGCATTTTGACTTGCTTATCTAACTATTCTGGAATTTTTACCCAAACTCTATTTTTGCATATTGTGATTTTCTACTTCAAGATTCCTTTCAATGTTAGCTGAAATCATTTTGGGCCGGAGTCACGTCAGAGCGCGTAGGATACTATGCCGGTTTGGACAGCTTTCTCTCCAAGCTAGGAGTGCTTGGATATGAGATTTGTGTTAGATTAAATAAAATTTTTCTAGCAGAGTTGATATACAAAAGCGTAATCGTAGTCTTAATTTTTTTCTTCGACGATGAGTGCTTCCTCCCTCTCCCGAACCTCTCCTATCAGACAATCAGAGACTGAGAGCCGGACGGTCCGTTAGAAGCTAACCAGTCTGGCCCCCACCATTTTGTAGCCTTCTCTTCCTCCTGTATGAGGACCTCTTTTAATCATAAATAGTAATAACTAACATTTATGTAACATTTTAAGGTTTGAAAAGCACTTTGCACGGCTCATTTTTTCCTCACCACCCCGTGTGTTGTCTCTCCTCTCACCCGGGCGCCCAATACCTTTGTGCTACCATACGTCTCCAATTTGCTGTTCAGTTGTGTCCAACTCTTCGCGACTCCATTTGGGGTTTTCTTGGCAAAGATACTGGAGGGTTTTGTCATTATTTCCTTCTCCAGCTCATTTTCCAGATGAGGAAACTGAGGTAAGCAGGATTAGGTGACTTGCCCAAGATCACACAGCTAGTGTCTGATACTGAATTTGAACTCAGGTCTTCCTGACTCCAGGCCTGGCGCTCTACCCACTGCGCCACCTAGCGCCCGGGTCTCCAATAGCAGTTTCCTATCTCAGCCTTCCCAGCTCTCTGAGAAACTATATCTTAATTCTTATTATTTGTTCTTACTTCCTCCCCTCTCCTCATCATATTTGCATTTTGACAGACAAGAGAGAACACTCTGAATATTAATATTAATCGAGGCCTAGAACAGAGAGACAGGCTCCACAAAGTTTTTTGCCCCTGTCACATATACAAAAACCTGAGTTTTGTTTTGTAAACATTGGTACAATGCCAGTAACCTTCTGGCCTTGAATCATGGCACTCTCTAGTCTCAGAATCACTGGACTTGCTGTGAACCAAAAGGCAGTGGAGAGGCAAGTGTGTGTGTGTGTATGGGGGTGGGGGGGTAGGGATGGAATGAATAGGCCATAGACGTTCACCAATTGATGAATCAATCAACTTGTATTTATTGGTAATGGCTTGTGGGCAGGGACTTGCACAACATATCCATGAAATGTGTGGTTGGGAAAGAAAGTGTGGCAAGAGCGAGAGATGACAGGACAGGCCCAGGACTACGCGGGTGCCCATAGACGATGGATAGCCCTAGTGGAAGGCCTCCGACACGTTGGTAGATTCTCCGTGGGTGGCTGGTGAGAGGACATGGACAGGAGTCAGGGAGGATGAATGTGGATGGGCCACTTTATACACCACCAGGGGGTGCACTCACATAGTTGGATCAGAGGTCTATGGAAGGCTAAAAGAGGTTGGGGTCCAGTGTGCAGTGGAAAGACCGCTGGAGTGGGGGTCAGAAGCCTCAGGTTCTAATCCCCTGCCCTACCCCTGGGTTCTGTACCCCCAGTGCTTGGCGCAGTAGTGTCTAACATGTTTTTTGTTCATTCACCACGATAGGCTGTTAGGGGAAATATTTAGGGTTAGCGCAGGAGTATCCTGTGAATAGCTGGGAGTGTCCTTCGATGACTCTTTGGTGTTTTTACTGAACCTTTCTAAGATCCCTGGACGCTAGGGCCGGTGAAGGAAAGGAACCTGAATGGGGAGAATCTTCAGGAACTCTAGGGCTGGTTGCCTCCTTGGAATTCTGAAATTTCTCTGCATGCTGCTGGTTCTGTTGACCTCTCAACAGGCAGAGACCATGTCTAACCAGAACCCTGTCTAGGCCATACTGTGCCCAGTCCAGGACCTTGTGCTCTGTGGGTATTCAGTCAATGTTTAATGCTGAGGATGGTGACCAGTTGGACAGGGACCTCGAGTAGGGAGGGCAGTGACTTTGGATGGAGAACGAAGCTGCCCGAATGGATACCTGATTCTTAGATGTGCTCTGTGGGTACTACCCAGGGCTTTGCACGCTCCTGGCCAACCAATAAATCACTGATTTATTATCATTTGCTTGACCTGAGGTCTCTCCAGTGACCAGGCCTGAGTGTACCATTGCCAACCCAGAGTGGGACCCCCAAGGATGGGTGCCCAGTCACTAATGTAAATGTTTCTTCAGAAATCAGGTAGCAGCTGCTAGGGAAAGTGTGAGCCCACATGCTCAAGTGAGTTGCCATGAAGCCAATCCTCTTTTCCTACCAGCTCCCTTCTTTGTCTCTTGGGCATCTCAGGGCTACTGTGGAGGTTCTCCTTCACCCAATCCCTATGTGAACAGCAGTCTCTCTACAATATCCCAGACCTGGGGTCCTCTAGGCCCCGCACTAAGGCCTCTCCAATGACGGGAGTCTTCCTTTTGGTACAGAAAGGACAGAGTCATTTGTATCTCTGTGCTATTACTCTTTGGGGTCCTTGTATAGATCCAGGCCCTTGAATTACTATGGGCTACAGATGGGCATCTGTCTGTCAAGCCGGAATTAACATCAAAAGAGACACCCAGGACAGCTAGATGGTGCAGTGGAGAGAGCACCGGCCCTGGAGTCAGGACGACCTGAGTTCAAATCCGGCCTCAGACACATAACACTCACTAGCTGTGTGACTCTGGGCAAGTCACTTAACCCCAATGGCCTCATTAAAAAAAAAAAAAAGGCACCTGGCCTTCCACTCCTCCTTTCTCCATGGCTGCTGGGGGTCCCAGGTTAGTAGTGGGCTAAGTATGCCTGGGAGAATCATAAATTTAGAGCTAAAAGGGACCGCAAAAGGTGTCAAACTCCATTTTATAGATGAGGAAACTGAGGCCTGGAGAGTTGAAGGGACTTGTTCAGAGTCACACCTCTACTAAGCATCAGAGTCAGGATTTGAACCCAAGGTTTCCCAACTTCAAGTCCGACACCCTGTCTTCTACACATCTCCCCTCAACCTCTCAAGGGAGAGGCAAGAACCTGAGTTTCCCTGCTTTCTCTGAAATTTGATTTGCCCCTCTTGGAAAGGGATTCCTACTTCATGGTTTGTGGAAGACTTATCAAAGAATGAACTTAAAAGAACCGACTGATTCAAGATGAAAGAACGTTGGCCCTGGCTAAGAGCCAGGCAATATAACAATCTCACCCTCTAAATGCAAGGGGCTTCCATCCTCAGCCGCATATACACAGAAACGTGGAGGGAGACAACAGGACTTCATGACCTCCTGATGGGTGGGAAGCGTCCTCATACACATAGGAGGTTTCTGCTGCTGTTCTTTCATCCTGTCATTGTCCGTGCACTGCCCCTCCCCACACCCAGCATTCTTCAGTCTCCACCTAATCTAAGAATCATATGAAAGCCTAGTATTGATAAGATCCAGGACAGATGAGCTCTCTCCTCTCTGCTATGTGCTCCTGCTCCGGCCCCTTTATTCCTGGAATTCTGACCATAGCACTGAGCTCTAAGAGTCTGAGAGATAATCTAGGGCTGGGGAACCTGCAGCCTCAAGGCCACATGTGGCCTTCTAGGTCCTTGTTGGACTGAGAACAGTAAAACTTAGAGAATTGTAAAACTTGGACTCAGTCAAAAGGCCGCACCTAAGGACCTAGAAGGCCACATGTGGCCTCAAGGCCATAGGTCATCCTCGGCTAGGCAGCAGTAAGGACTTTCCTTGGCTCTAACCCTTGTTTGGGGATGACTCGAGAAAAGACAGGGAACTTGAAACAATTCTACTTTTGGGTGGAACCTCCTTGGGCTCTCTGCTGTATTTCATCAGTTTGCTCTGCTGACTCATGGTCTCAAGCTGGGGTTGCCATGATGATCCAGGATTCCCACCAGTGTCATCTCAGCAGGGACCCAACGCCCAACACCAGGCACTTGAGGCTTGTGAAGAGAGTAAAGGCCAGTTCTGGAGCTGGGCCTCTCAGGGATGGATGCCTCCCATGCTGGTCCCTGGTCCGAAGGTGAGCAGATCAAAGTTCTCTTTTTGCCAGCAGTGGCCCAGATCAGCAGTTTACTCCCAGCAGGGGTTGGGGTCAGATGAGAAGGACCAGTTCACTGGCTGTACCCATTGCCAATGGATCCAGATAGGTCTGGCATGTGGACTTGAGCCCCATCTCTCATTCTCTCCAGCCTCACTGACCGTGGATATGACTATTACCTCTCCAGTAGCAGAAGTTCACCTGGCCCTCAGTGGACCAGTTGACTTTACCTTGATCTCGATTTTCCAGGGAAAGAGCTGGGGGGGTGGGGAAGTGAGGCCCAGAGAAGAAAAGGGAATCTGGACAGTGACTAAATGACTTGAATAGGAGAAGTGAATATTGCAGGGGCTGCAGATTAGGAAAACAGTGTTGTCTGGAGGAAATGATAAAATGGTTTTTGAATAGTTTTTCATTAGTGAGACGAGGTAGAGGTTTGTAAAAGCTCCAAGATGTGGCCATGCTTGCAATTCTACAATCTTGGGAGGAGCGGCTGCTTTCGTTGATGTCTCTCAGGCCAGAGGGAATCCTTCCCCAGGATCCTTTTTGAGTCCCCAAATTACTGGTGCAGCCTTGGGCAAGCATGCCTGACAGACGGGAAAACAAGGATTCCAGGGTCCCTGTAGTGGATAGAGCACTGGATCTGCAGTCAGGAAGACTCCTCTTCCTGAGTTCAAATCCAGCCTCAGATACTTGCTAGCTGTGTGACCCTGGGCAAGTCACTTAATCCTGTTTGCCTCAGTTTCCTCATCTGCAAAATGAGCTAGAGAAAGAAATGGCAAACCACTCCAGTATCTTTGCCAAGAAAACCCCAAATGGGGTCACGAAGAATCGTACACGGCTGAAAGCATTCAACAACAACAACAGCAGGGCCACCCTAGTCTCCAGTGGATCTTGAGGTAGCTAAAACCGGAGTGATGATCCCAATGCTCTTGGGCCAGGTCAGAGGTCGAGAACACTTGTGACTAGATGAGGAATTCAAGACAATTTCAGCAAGCTGCCAGAGTGCTTCACGGTAAGGTTCAGGTTAGGTGTTTGCTCGTGGACTCCTAGTTCTGTGTGCACATATCACCTGCCTTCATCACCCCGTTAGGCCTATGGCGCTAGAACTTTTATAGGGACCTATAGAGCAGCCACCCCCCCAACTCAGATGCTGTCCAGATCTTATTTCCTGCTCAACTGAACCAAGTTTTCCCAACTTTCTTTGGTTGTTTGAAAATAAAACAAAGATTAAGGGTGCAGAGGAGATTGGGGATCTCAACTGCCTAGTTGGCAAGTAGCAATTTGTAATTGGCAAGGCAAGGGTCATGGCAAACTGTTCAATTTCATTCAAGAATCAGAACTGGTAAAATAGAGCATTAACACATGATAACCACCTGTCTCTTGCTGGCCCTGAGAAATCACAGCCCGCTCCACCAGAGGCCCATCTCATACACACTGAGTCCCAGCTTTAGGGCCCTGCTCTTGACCAAGAATGAGTCACTGCCTCTTCCCAGCATCAGCAAGAGGTTTGGGGCTACTTGCTGCTGGGAAGACTTCCCTCCCCTTCCTGGTACAGATGGCCAGATCTGGGTGTGGAGAGACCTGGCCTGAAGGGATGTACTGGGGGGTAGGAGGGAGAAAGGAGCTCAAAGCAGCCTGTGTTATTCAATTAAATGTGGAGAAGCAATGCTGACTGCGGTAATGGCTATCAAGAATCCAGATGTCCAAAGCTGGCAGAGACAGATTGGTTGAATGGAAAGAGCCTAGGTTTTGGGGTCAGCCAGTCAATGGGTATTTATTAAGTGCTTACTATGTTCTAGGCACTGTGCCAAGCACTGAGGATACAAAAAACAGCAAAAACAAGGCCAACCTTCTAGCCTCAGCCACTCGCCAAATGTGGGATCTTATACCCCTCTTTAGGGTCCAGTTTCCTTATCTATAAAATGAAGGGAATTTGGGGATTTATTTTACTTGAGTATGTATATTTGTTACAAGGATTTGGTGTTGTTTTCTTTTTTGTTTTGTTTTGCTTTGTTTTGTTTTTTTCCAGTGCGGGGTGGGAGTAGGAGGGAAAAAACAAATGCTTTTTCATGAAAACAAAATTAATTTAAAAATAAAGTTAAGGGGCTGAACTAGATCTTTCAGGATTCTTCTATCCCAACTATGTTATGACCCATGATGAGGAAGAGGTGGTCAGAGATCTCTAAGCTTGTCTTGGCATCCACAATGTCTAGCATAGTACCAGGCACTGGATAAATGCTAGATGATTGGTTGGCTTAGAGCTGGCCCTTCCAGGCAAAGAGGTCCTAATAAACATAGTAGGCCGTGTCCTTGGGCTCCTCTGCCCTCCTGGAGGGTACTACCCTTTGCTGTCCCCTGCCCCAGCTGGGGCGATGGCAGGTAGCCCCTGAGCCTCCTCTGCTCCTAGGGGTGCTGGGGTTTCCTTCTCAAACTCCCCTTCCTGAGAACTGGGAATTAAGGCCTAGTCAGGGAGTGGCCTCACATACCCCAGCCTGATGCTCTGTAACTAGAAATTGGGCTACATCTCACCAAGATAGCCAGCTGGGAGTGTACTAGGGGCCCAGAAGAAGGGGAGGAGCATTAAGAGCACAGAGTGGTTATAAAAGAAGGCCACAGGATAGGGAGGTGAGGTGCCCATTACAGTACTGGAAGAGGGGGTAGGGGAGAGGAAGCATCAGAGACAGGTTGGGCCTCAGTGGGTGAAGAAAAGTTACTGAGACACATTCAAGGGTCTCCTTTAAGGCTTTGCTTAAGTGTGGTTGATTCCTAGCTTTGACCCGGGGCAAGTCACCAAAATTCTCAGGATTGCACTTTCCTCCTTTGAAAAAAAGGTACGCTACCTATGTCTCTGGTAACCTTAAAGGATAGAAACAAATACAAGCCGAGGTGTAGCTGCCTTTCCTCACTCTCCCACTAGAGGGCACCAGAAGCCACCTGGTGAGATCTCATGGGTGCCCAGAGCTTGGTGGCCGCTGGCGCCCCTGGAGTCAGGGTGGGGTGATGGCTTCTGATGATGCCCCACGCTCCTAAATGAGCTGAGCTAAGCCTATTGAGACCCAAGAACAGAAAGTTCACCTGGGAGCCACTAAGGTCCTCCCAGCCCTTTCCCCCAGGGTGTGATGGTCCATTATCAGCAATTAATGGAGACCTAGGTAGAGCCCCATATATCTCCCCCACCTCTCCTATTCTCTCAGTTGTGGAAGGGAGGGGAATCCAGCCTCATCTTCCCTATCACTTTTCCTGTTGGCTCGTCCCCATTCAGAGGTCATTGCTAAAAAGGGCATAGTGGAGTAGAGGAAGAGTAGACCATCCTCCCCAAGATGTGGCTCCATCATTGGGGACACCCCCACACCCACCCCAAGAGTTAAGGTGGGTCTGTCTTTGCCATCTCTTTCAAATGGGGGAGGGGTTAGGAGAACCAGGGACTAGTGGAGGGCAGAGGGCAACAGGAACAAAGCCAGGGGGAAAGGGGTGTCTATGTCTGACCCAATGGGGTGGCACACTCTAGGCTGTTGTCAGAGCCAGCAGAAGAATCCCGGGATGAGCGGCCCTGAAGGAAGCGAATGATCTTCTCAATAGTGGCCTCCTGGTATTCGTGGGACCACCTGTGGACAGAGCAAAGCTGAGGGTCAAGGCTGTCCTGAGAGCCTCCCCGTGGGTACTGAGCAACCCAGACTGCAGAGCTTCCCGGGGATGGAGGTGGTGGGCCAGTGGAACTCAAAGGGACCTGAGGTTCGTGTCCCCTGGGTGAGGGGTGGAGCTCAGGCTTCTTGGGGTTCTCTTGGGGCATGTTAGGGCTACTGAATGGGGGGGGAAGGACAAGGGCAGCTCTCCCCAGGAGTTCCCATGATGCTTCACCCCCCATCCTTTTACTTACATGATGCCATTGAACTTGAGAACAGCCTGCATATCCTCAGGCAGTGACTGAGGCTCCGGCCACACAAAGCCATCCATCACAGGCACTATGTTCTTCCCACAGTTTAACGCAGTCACAATCTCCTGGAGGCCAGATCGAGATGGGGAGAGAGGAGGGAGTGTGAGCCCCATTGGAGATGCTTATCTTCCAGTCCCCTCCCAGGAGAAAGAAAGAGATGTCATGGAATCACAGGCCATCAAGCCAAGAGGGCCCTTGCAGCCCACCCCCTCCTTTTACAGCAAAGGAAACTGAGGCTCAGAGAGGTTATAGAGCTGAAAGAGACCCCAGGGGCCATCTTGTTCAACCTTCTCATTTTACAGAGAGGGAAACTGAGACCCAGAAGAGTTAGATCATTTCCCCCAAGGTCACACAAGTAATAAGCAAAGTCAGTGGTCAAGAAACCATGTTGTCTTAGCCTGAGTGCCTCATGACAGAAAGGAGGGTTTCAAAGATCATAAGATCATTGATTGGAAGAATGCTCATAGCTAACATTTACATAGTGATTTAAGGTTTTCCTGTTATCTCCTCTGAGCCCCACAACAATCCTGCCAGGTAGGTGCTATTATTACCCCCATTTTATGGATGAAGAAACAGACTGAAAGGCTAAATGCTTTATGCCTCGGGTCACCCAGCCTAGTCAGTATCTGAGGCAGGATTTGAACCTGGGTCTTTCTGACTCCAAGGCCAGCACTCAATAACTGCTTTAGATCATCCAGCCCCACCTCCTCATTTTACCGAGTGGGAAACCGAGGCCCAGAGAAGTGAAGTGAACTGCTCAAAGTCACATAGGAAGGAAATAGCTGAACGAGGAGTCAAACCCAGGATCTCTGACCACAGATCCGGGATTCCTTCCACAATGTGACGTGGCCTGTTCATCTCGGGTTTGGTCAGTCAACTAGAATTTACTAAGCACCTATCATGGGGCAGGCAAATAGAAGGCAATAGACAAATTTCTCCCAGATCTCTGTCTAGAGCTCTCCTTTGCCTTAAGGAAGCTGTTGCATTGCATTAGACCCAGATTTCCTTATCTGTAAAATAGCTCCTTGGCCTCCCAGGTCTCCTCCACACTCCCTACCTTGTATTGTACTTACCTAGGTGGTACAGGGGCTAGAGTGCTGGAATCAGGAAGACCTGCCACATGCTGGCTGCCTGACCCTGTGGCAAGTGACTTAATCTCTTTGTGCCTCAGTTTCCTCATCTGTAAAATGAGGATGATAATAATACTCCCCAAGGTTGTCGTGAGGATCAAATGAAACCACAGAAGTGAAAGGGTAGTGATTGTCTTCTATGTACATATTGTAGGTTCCTATCTATCTCTTCATTTCTTTTCTCTACCTCCCAAGAAGAAGGTAACTCCCTTGCAGGCAGTGGTTACTTTTCATCTTTAAGTTCCTAGGGCTTAGCACAAGTTCCATGCACACAGTAGGTACCTAATAAATGTTTGCTGAACAGAACTGAATTGAAAAACAGATAACAGTTGAGGTTGCTTTTTCTGGGCAGGGGCCAGGCCAATCCAACCAAGGGCCGGGGCTGTAATCTGGGGGTATTTGTAAGTGCAATTCATCTGTTCCCTCCCTAGATGGAGAGCATGCACATTTGTGGTTTTGCTGAAGCACTTTTAAACATCAAAGCCCAATTAAAGCAAGACCAGAATGGCCCCAAATGGCTCTTGGGACCTGGGGAAGGGCTGCCTTGGAGGGAGCCAGACCTGCCCTGACCATGATTGTGAACTGCCTTGCCACCAACCCTATAACACTTTCTGTGTCTCTGCCCTATGCCAAGGCACTGTGCTAGGTGCTGAAGACAGAAAGACAAAAGGAAAGTGGAGTAGGGTGGGGTGGAGAAGAGAGTGAGAGTGAGTGAGAGAGAGAGAAAGGCAGAGACACAGAGAGAGAGACAGAGAAACAGAGACACATAGAGAGAGAGACAGACAGACAGACATAAAGAGGCAAAGAGATAGACAAGAAAGTAAAAGACAGTAACAGAGAGACAGAGAGAGATAGAGACAGAAAGAGAGAGATGGAGAGACAGAGAGGGGAACAGAGAGACACACAGAGAGAGACTGAGACAGAAACAGAGAGACACACAGAGGGGTAGAGAGATAGACAAGAGAATTAAAACAGATAGCGAGAAAGAGAGAGACAAAGACAGTAAGAGAGAAACAGAGAGATAGAGACAGAATAAGATAGAGATAGAGAGACAGAGAGGAACAGAGAGGAGCAGAGACAGACAAGAGATTAAAAGAGACAGAGGGAAAGAGAGACAAAGACAGAGTAAGAGAGAAACAGACAGGGACACAGAGACAGAAAGGGACACCGAGAAACAGAAAGACACACACACACACACATACACACACACAGACAAAGACAGAGGGAGAGGGAGAGACAGACAAAGAGACATAAGCAGCCAGCAATGAAATCCACTGCTAATATTCTCCTGGCATGTCAGTCAGTCAATAAACATTTCTTAAGCACCTACTATGTGTCAGGCACTGATGCTAAGAGCTGGAGATACAAATACAAAAAAGATAGTCCTCATCCTCAAGGAACTTACAGTTTAATGGGGGAAGACAGTGCACAAGAAGAAGCTAAAAAGTAGAGGGGGGAGATATGGAAGCATGAGGACAGAGATGGGGACTGGACTGGTGATTCTGCTGGCACAGGGGGTTTCCAGGTGAAGAGCCTCCCTCTACCATTACAGGCAGGGACTTTCTCTGCAATTTATCGTCTATGAGAGTTGAGAGGCTCGTGGTCACATTGCTGATATATGTCAGAGGCCAAGTTTGAATGCAGCTGACTTCAAGGCCAGCTCCTTAGCCACTGTGTCACTCTACCTCTATAAACATATAGACATTCACCTGAGGAGGGAGAAATTAATAATAAAGAGATCAGGAAAGGTTACCATCAGAGATGTCCCATGAACACAGAACCTTGATTCTCAGGACTCTAGGAAGCAAAAGTGAGGAGGGAGCACATTGCACATGTGTGGATAGGGGTGGGGGTTCAATACCCAGGCAAAGTCACAGAGGCAGGAAATAAAATTCAGAGTCTGAGAAATTGTAATTAGGTTGGTTTAGATGGAACAGGGAGCAGATGAAGGGAAATAGTGTGTGCTAAGTTTAGAAAGATAGGTTGGAGCTATACTGTCAAGAGACTTAAATGCCAAACTGAGGAAAGAGTATTTTATCCTATCCTATCCTATCCTAAGAATCTAATCCTAGTAATCCAGTCCCAGACACTTACAAGCTCTGTGACCTTGGTCAAGTCACTTAACCCTATTTGCCTCAGTTCCTCCTCTGTATAAGCTAGAGAAGGAAATAGCAAACCATTCAAATACCTCCACCAAGAAAACCCCAAATAGGGTCATGAAGAGTGGGACATGACTGAAAAAGGACTGAATAACAACAATACTGGAGAGCCATTGATGGTTCTTGAGCAGGGGAAGTGGCACAGTACTGCCCTACCTTTCAGGAAGCTTTTCTGAGACAAGTTTGTATTTCTCTGGCCAGCCCGTAGGAGCAGAGATCTTGACTCCCTCCCACGGCCAGGATCATGATGAATCCCTTGCTCATTCTGCTGAATTTTAACTGTTTGAAGGCTTATCGTGTGATAAGAGAGAGATTAAAGGGACCTATGAGGCCGTCAGATCTAACCCCCTCCTTCTACAGGTGAGGAGACTGAAGCCCAGAGAGTCTGTGACTTGCTCAGGGTCACACAGCTAGTAAGGGTCTAGGAGACAGAATTTCCAACCCAGGTTTTTCAGTCTCCAAGTCCAGTGCTCAATCCACTGCACCACCTGGCAGCCTCGAGGGAAACATGCTTGATTTGGTTCATGGAATCTTCCCAGAAACCTCAGCTAGAACCTTGGAGTCATCCCCAAAACAGAATATCAGCTCCTTGAAGGCAGGGACTGTTTTGTTTTTTGTCTTTGTATGCCCACTGCCTAGAACAGATGCCCAGAAAATGCTAAACATTTTATGCCCAGCTCTTTTTTTCATCATCATGGGGAACTCTCAGTAAGAAGTAAATCTCTTCCACCAAACCAGATCAGCACCTCATTTGTAACATACAGTGAGCTGCCCTGACGTTGAGAGTTTGGATGAATGGCTCAGAGTCACCCAGACAGTATGTATCAGAAGCAGAGCTGGGACTTCCGTCTTCCTGACTCCAAGGCTTTGTTCTCTATGCACTAAGTTAATACCTTGTATCCCCTTGGAATAAATAATTGCTAAATTGCATTGAGTAACTGAGTTTGTAAGTATCACTCAAAATGCAGTGGACCACACAGATCTAGAGCCAGCCTCTGTCAGGAAGACCCAGGTTCAAGTCTTGTGCTGGCTGTGGGACCCTGGGGAACACCATTAGCCTGTCAGGCACCTCGTTAAGACTAAGTTACAGGGGCAGCTAGGTGGCACAGTGGATAGAGCACCAGCCTTGGAGTCAGGAGGACCTGAGTTCAAATCTGGCCTCAGACACATAACACTTACTAGCTGTGTGACTCTGGGCAAGTCACTTAACCCCAATTGCCTCACAAAAAAAAAAAAAAAGAGAGACTAAGTTACAAACCAGTGCTGACCTGCATTGGTAGAAGGGATTTCCTCACTGGGAGATGTCTGCATCAATGAAATCCCAGGTCTAACAATAAAAACCCAACAGTATTCCCCATAGTGTAATAATGTTCAGAACACAACAGGCACCCAAGGGCTGTGGGATAATTGGTCAATAAATTATCTCTTGCGTTTGTATGTTTGGACACTCCTTACCACTGTGTTTTCTAACATGGCGGAAGTTCCATGAAAGGTAGAGGCAAGACAGGGAAGGCTCTAAGGTTGCCATTTTGCTGTTGAGAGAATCCATGGAAATAAAGTAACTTGCCCACACTCAAAGAACCTCAGAGATGGTGAGGACCTCGGAGGCTGCCCGATTTGATGGGTATTAGAACAGAAATCAGGAATCCCCTCGATGTCATCACCTATAAGTGGTTATTCAGCCTCGGCTTGGAGACCTCCAATGATGGAAAACTCATTACCTCCTGAGGAAACCCACTGAATTTTTGAACTGCTTTGACTGCTCACACTATGAGCAACCCAGCCTAGAACCCAGGTTGCTAAATTCCCAGTCCAGCCCTCTGTCCATTCTGCCCATGGAGGGAAGAGAACGAGTATTTATTAAGTGCCTACTAGGTGCCAGGCATGGTACTAAGTACTTTACAAATATCTCATTTGATCCTCACAATCACCCAGGTGCTATTAGTATTCTTATTTTGCAGATGAAAAAACTGAGGCAGACAGTAGTGACTTGCCCAGGGTCACACAGCTAGTAAGTGATTGAGGCTGGATCTGAACTCAGACTGTACCACCTAACTTAGCCACCAGAGCTTAGCACACATTGTGCCTGGTACATAGTAGGCTTGTTGATTTGACTTAACCACTAGGACTTGAGATAAGAAGGCTCATTTTGGGTCCTTTGAAACAAAAATGACCCTGCTAATGATGAACAATTGTGTCCCCAGGCTTGTTGGGGGCTGGGGGAGCTTACCTTATGTACCCAATCCTTGCAGTCATGATCCTGCATGCATTTGTCCAGTGCTCCAGAGGACAGTACCAGCACAAAGTTCCGGGCTCCCATGACGCTCTGGATCAGCTTGTCTTCAAACTTGCCAGCCTCCAGCTTTTCCACGTCGATGAAGACGCTGAAGCCGTGTAGCTGCAGGTGTACCTTCAGAAGACTGGGAAGAGGGGCCCTCATCTACACATGCTCAACCCTCCCCACCGACTGGCTTGGGCTTAGCCAGGTTGGGTCCTTCTGGAGCCTTCAGGACAGGGCTCCCACCACCCTGCCCCTACCCCCAAACCCTCACCTGGCAAGCTGGGAGCCTGAGCTCCGGCGGTAGCTGATAAACACATCTGGGTTCTCACAGCTGGACTTGCAGCCGCTGCAAGGCAGGGGTGAGTGCAGCATCTCTGATGGCGCATGAGGGGAAGGAAGGAAGGGCCAGGGAAGACAGACATTGAAGGCAGCGTCATTCCTCTCCCCCTCTTCCCCTCCCACCCTCATTGACAAACAATCTCCTGTCCCTCCTGTCATTTCCCTTCCATGGAATTTCTAAGACACAAGGAAATCTGGCTACTGATGGGATAACGTTGCAAGGAGGTTGGCATGGATGCGGAGTTTCTTCCTTCCCAGACTGTTGGTAAAAGGACGACCTCTGTGCCTACAACTCTGTGTATGAGCACACACACACACACACACACACACACACACACAACTATCTGGGGAAAACCAAGAGTGACCCAGAATGAGGATCATAGAGCTGCAGAGCTGCAAGGGATCTTTGCGATCACCTCATCTAATCCTGTTGTATTAAGCTGAGGAAGCCTAGTCCTGGGGTGCTGGGGTGGTGGTGACTTGCCTGTCACTTAGCAAGTCAGGGACAGAGCCAAGCCTAGCTTTCAGATTTCCTGGCTCACTGTCTCAGTCTCTTTAGGAAAAATCTCACTGGACTCCAAAGAGTCTGAGGAAACTTGGGCTGAAATCCCATCTCTATGATGGGAGCTGTGTGACCACCCCACTGGGAGACCTTTCTGAAAAGGGGGGAAAATCATACCTGAAGTATTGAATTCACAGGATTATTGTGAGGATTGGATGAGGTTAAGTATGTACAATGTTTTGCAAAATGGCACATATCAGTTATTATTATCATTTGTTATGACTCTTCTTATTAATAGCTAGTATTTATGTAGCACATGTAATTTATCTAGCTGCACAAAGGCTCTGTAAAGTAAGTGCCACTGTCATCTCCATTTCAGGTTTGAGGAAACTGAGGCTGAGAAAGGGCAAGGGACTTGCCCAGGATTACACAGCCTAAAAAGAGTCTGAGGCAAGATTCCTTCTCAGATCTGCCTGACTCACCCCATCCTCTGTCTATTGCAACACCTAGCCGTCATTCCTCCTGCCTTTGGGAAGGAGGGAGCTGTTAGAAATACATGTTTGCTGAACAAATCAATGTGTCAAGAGGATCAACTTTAAAAATAAACCCTGGCTTTGGTGGGGGGCGGGGAAGAGGGTCCATCCAGACCTAGGAGGACAAAGAAGAACCTTAGAACATAAAATGTTAAGACCAAAATACCTTAGAGACTATAGATGGTAAAACTAAGACCCAGAGAGGGACAGTGACTTGCCCAAAGTCACATAGAAAGTCAGTGGCTGAATTGGGACTAGTATCTGTACCTCCTCAGTCCTAGCCTTGTGCTCTGCCTGCCATGAGTTGCCTCCATAGGTAGTGAGCTCCCCATCACTTGGAGGTATTCAAGCAGACGACCATTTGCAGAGGGTCCCATCTGAGGTCCCTACCTACTCTGAGATTCTATGGCCTGAGGCACAGAGTAGGATAGGGACATCTCACCACGGGCAGCAGTGAGGATCCGAACCCTGTGGAAACCGATGCTGATGCCACAGTCCTCCTGGAGCTGCTGCTCAGAGACTCGATGTAGGAGCGTGCGGTCCACACCACAGCTCACCAGCCCGTAGGTATACTGGCGGAATCGGGGGTCCAGGCTCCCCAGCCAGTCTGCAAGGTTGCTGCGATCACATGTCGCATAGTTCGCAAAGGTCTTCAGTTCTATGAGCTCCCGAAAGAACCTGCGGCCCCGGGGGGAGGCATAGGGTTAAAGTGGCAAGTGGACCCTGGGATCAGGAGTAGTATAGGGATAAACCATGAGTGAAGGTGGGTTGGACAATTAGCATGCACAGGAAGGGACTCAGCACATATGGAAAAGTCATGCCTGCCATGGGGCAGAGTGGGCATAAAAAGGGGGCTGTTAGGTATGGGAGGGGTAGAGCTCACCCTACAGCCTCCATACCTCTTGCGGGTGATGGCAGATTTCATTCCTAGGTCATCTCGAAGCTCTTCCTCTGTCAGACGCAGCAACAGATCTCCATCTATCTGATGCTCCTGGAGGTGAGCAAGAGGGGAGAGTTGGAAGGTGTGTATTTGTTGGTGTGTCGGGGGTGGGGTGTGTGTGGGGCACTCACAGGCTCTTTCCCTCCCTTGGGGCTGGTTTCTCCACTTCCGGAAGTGCTCTCCTCTCTCAGTCCACCCTAGTCATTCTCAGGCATCAAAGCTATGAGAGAGAATACAAGCTTCCCAGGATGTGTGTTGGGGATGTCCCTTAGGAAGTGAGTAGACTGGGGTGGAACAGACCCTTCAGATGGGTAAAATGTCATTTAACTTTGACCCAAAAGCCACCCTCTGCCTTCCCTCCAGATGCCTGAATTCCCACCATTAGAGTTGCTACATTGGGTTAAGGCATTGTTTCCAGAAGATCCCTCTTTACATGCAGATGTTGCCTGAGAATGGAAGCACACTAACAATGTCAGGTCCTCCTACTATCCCCCCCCCCCCGGGAAGAACGAGGCCAGAAAGGATGAGAAATAGGATGTATATATTTTGAAGGGTTAGGAAAAAGATCTGGGATTAGGAAAGGCGCAGAGCCCAGACTGCTGTTTCCCAGAAGGCAGTGCGTCAATGTGGGGCCCCAAGTGAAGAGGCAGAGAAGCCATGTGAGGGCAGGAAGTACCTAGAGGATGTGAGGGGCCCAATGTATCCGTGTGGGATGGTAGGGAGGTCCTTACCCAGAAGCGCTCACAGTACTTGGAGAAGCCAATCTGCTGTAGCCAAGTCTGTACCTCAACCTCCTTCCAACTGGGTACACAAGGCAGGATACGTCGGGGCACTTCCTCACCCACCAGGCGCAGAGCCCGCTTAGCCAATGCTGATATGGTACCGTTGGTGGAATAGGAAACCAGACGCTTCAGGCTCTGTGTGGCTCCAATCTCACTAAACACCTAGAGGATGGACACCGGAAGGTGGTACTGCCCAGGAAGATTAGAGGAAGGCATAGCCCTGCAAGGGCCCAAGGAACCCACTTTAGGTCCCTGGTACCGCAGCCTAGTATGCCCCAGATCCTTGATGATCCCCAAACCCCTCCTCTAAGATCCCTTCTAGTCTAGACCTATGATCCTATGATTTTTCAAGCCTGACTTTCTTTCAACAGGTCCAGACAGTCTTCTCTTAGCCTAATCAAGAGCAGAGAGGGCAGAAGTAGAGAATCAATGAGGGCAAAAGCTAGGAAAACCAAGGTCCTACATTTAGGGCCATTCAGGTTGCCAAATGTCCTGGATTTTGCATCAATGTCTTGTCTGGCTGTTTTCCTTACAGTCCGTCTTGCTATTCCCTGCGTCCTGCCTGGCTTCAGTCACGTCTGACTCTTCGGTGACCCGATCTGGGGTTTTCTAAGCAAAGATACTGGAGTGGTTTGCCATTATCTACTCCAGCTCATTTGACAGATGAGAAAACTGAGGCAAAAAGGATGAAGTGACTTGCCCAGGGTCACACAGCTAGTAAGTGTGTGAGGCTGGATTTGAACTCAGTTCTGTGCTACCTAGCTGCCTTCTGCCACTTTTAACTTTCTCACTATTCTTTTTCTCTTCACTTCCCCTGTTATCTCCACTTCTAGGCCTTGTCATCCCCTATTTATCCTCTAAGTCTCTGTTATCCCTTTCCACAATCCCATCATTCCTCTCTTCCCTCACTGTCCCTGGGTGGCCCTCTTTTCTGTTTCTCCTCCCTCCTCCTGCCACTTTTCTCTTCATCTTCCATTCCATTCCCATTTGTGGTCACTATGTCTATCATTCTTATCTCCTATCCATCCCCCATAATTTCCTCCCTCCTCTATCCCTATCATTCCCCTCCTCCTTCACCATCCTTCACCACCCCCCCTCTCCATCCTCATGTCTTCTCATCATGTCCTCCTCTCCTCCCATCATTCTCCTCCTCATCCTCCATTGAATTATCATTCCTGTCCTCCATTCTCCCCCCCCATTCCCCTTCTCTTTTCCCAATCCCTGTCATTTCCCTCCTTCTCATCCATCTGCTATATATGGCACCAGGTGAGAGCTTAATAAATGCTCCACCCATCCATCCATCCATCCATCCATCCATCCATCCATCCACCCATCCACCCATCCATCCATCCATCCATCCATCCATCCATCCACCCATCCATCCATCCATCCACCCATCCACCCATCCATCCATCCACCCATCCATCCATCCATCCACCCATCCATCCATCCATCCACCCATCCATCCATCCATCCATCCATCCATCCATCCACCCATCCATCCATCCATCCATCCATCCATCCATCCATCCATCCATCCATCCATCCATCCATCCATCCATCCATCCATCTATCCTCCCTCTCTCTATGCTCCCAAAGTCCTTCCCTCATCCATTCCATCCTCCTCCTGCCTCTTCTCTTTTCTTTCCTCTCCTGGACTCCTCATCTCGCCTCTACCCCGATCCGTTCACCCCTCACCCCGCACCCCTACACACCTTACTCTTGCCCTGGAGACTCTTTATGGCCGCCTCGGCGCAGAGGTAGAAGGCCCCTATGCACTGCGCCTCCAGGCGCGAGGAGTCGAGCAGGGGCACGAGGCGCTGCAGGTCATCGGCCGCCCGACCCTGGCTCGTGTCGCTGGCGTCCACCAAGCAGCGAGCGAAGCCCCCGGGGTCCAGGGAAGCCACGAGAGGCTCCACGAGGGCCAGGGTGCCCGAACGCTCCACCTCGCGCTCGATCTCCTTGTTGGTGGCCAGCACGGCCACGGCCAGGCAGGCATGAAGCCGGAGCAGCTCGTCCTCCTTGGAGAAGGCCAACGGGAAGAGCCACTCGGCTGCACGCTTTTCCACCATGCACCTCTGTGCCGCCTGGCCGCCGTGCAGGGCGCAGTTGGCCAGCGCTAGGGCGCAGTGGCGCAGGAGCGCGGAGTCTGTGCGGCGGCACCAGAAGAGTACCGCGTCCAGGCCTCCGGCTGCTATCAGCCGCTGGCACGTCTCCTCCGAGTGCTTGAACATGTGCTCCAAAATGCCCGCGGTGCTGCGCGCAAGCTCCAGCGGCTCCCGCTCCTTGGCCAGGTTCAGGATGACACCCAGCCCGATGCGGGCCACCCGGTCCCTGAAGGGAGATGGGGGGGGGGTGGGAGATGTTGGAGGAGGGTGGCAGAGCCAAGAGGCCGGCAGAGGACCCTCGGGGCTCAGCCGCTGACTCCATGGGGGTGACCTTCGCAAGTCTAGGGGGAACATAACTCGAGTTGAGATCAGAATTGAGGAGGTTGAGATTTCAGTTCAGACTTCATAGCTGTGCTGCCTTAAACACGTTCTTCATCCTTAAAATCAGAAGCTTGGTAACTGACTGGTTCAGAGATCTAAAGTTGGAAAATATCTTAGAGGCCATAGAGCCCAACACTTTCATTTTACACATGAAGAAACTGAGGCCTAGAGAGGTGACCTGTGGGGTCTAAGATCACAGATTGAAGGGACAAGGCTTACTTGCACTAAGGTCGTATCCCACTCCATCCACTGAAAACAAAATTGGTAACTGACTATGCTGGTGGGACTGTGGAAAGTTAGGCACAGTTGATACACTGTTAGTGGAGTTGTAAAGTGGCCCAACCATTCAGCATCATTATGCTGGAAAAGTGAGTAAGTGGTCTGCCTACACCCTTTGATCACTGATACTACTATTGAGCACGTAGCCCAAAGAAATCAAAGACAAAAAACCGTGGTGTAATATATTTTAAAAACTATTCCTATCAGCACTTTTTTTGTGGTACCAATGAAATGGAAATAAAATAAATTGGGGAATGGCTAAAAAAAAAAAAGACAAACTATGGTATATAAATACTATTGTGCAAGAATAAATAATGAATAAGAGGAATTCAGGGAAACAGAAAGATTTGTATGGACCGTTGAAATACCTACAACAATATAAGCAAAAAGATCATTAAATTAAATTGTGAGTAATGGGAAAATCAATGAAGATCCCAGAGAAAAGGTACAAAAACATATTCTCCATAGTAGAAGTCAGAGGATTAAAAGGACAAAATATTAGATTAAATTAAATTAAATTAAATTTAACTGTCAGTTTCTTTCTGGGGTATTTTTGCTTCGTTGCTCAAAGCTATCTTTCCTTCTATGGGGTAGCCAAGTGGTGAAGTGGAGAGAGCTCTGGGCCTGGAGTCAGGAAGATCTGAGTTAAAATCTGGCCTCAGACACTTACCAGCTTTGTAACCCTGGACAAGTCACTTAGCCCTGTTTGTCTTAGGTCCTAGTCTGTAAAATGAGTTGGAGAAGGAAATAGCAAAACACTGCAATATCTTTGCTAAGAAAACCCCAGTGTGATCACGAAGAGTCAGCCATGACTAAACAACAATCTTTCTCTCTAAATTTGCTACTCTATCCAATTCTGTTCAAGTATTTCTTAAGCACCTACTATGTGCCAGGAGCTAGGTTAGGTACTGAGAACACAAAGACCAAAAAAAAAAAAAAAAAAGGAATAGTCGTTGTTCTCAAAGAGTACATTCTTCCAGGGGAGACAGCATGTATACATATAAGTTGGCAGCCTGATACAGTGGAAAGAACTGAGTCAGAGCACCGGGTTCAAATTCTGGTTTTTCCACTTGCTACTCATATATTCTAAGGCAAGTGATCCTCTCTGAGGGTCAGTTTTCTCAATTGTAAAATGAGGGGATCGAACTCAATAATTTCAAAGGTCTCTTCTATCACTAAATCCATTTATGGTCCTAAGTATGTTGTTTTTTGTCTAGGAAATGAGGTTAAGCAACTTTCCCAGGGTCACACAGCTAGTAAGTGTTTTGTGTCAGGCTGCATTTGAACCCAGATCCTCCTGACTCCAGAGCCGGTGCTCTATCCACTGCACCACCTAGCTGTCCCAAGTATGAGTATGTACAAAATACCGGTAAGGTACCAATATAGATCAGCAACGCATGTGTCAGAGACAGGATTTGAACTCCGGTCTTCTTAACTCCAAGGCTAGCCCTTTATCCACTGTCTCATATTCACTGATCTCAGTAACAGACATATTGTGTATTATTTTGTAATGCTGTCATCTGAGTGCGTGTCATGTCCTCCCACTAGACTGGAAGCTCCATGCCAATAGAGGTAATTTCTCAGCCAAACTCTGTATCCCACCTAGTGAATAGTAGGTGCTTAATCTACATTTTTAGAATTGGTTTAATTTGCTTGAAGTAGCCCATTTCAGAGTCAGATAATTATAGATAAAGAGCTACAAGGAGATTATCTCAGAGATTATCTAGCCCAATCCCCTCATTTTACAGATGAGGAAACTGAGGCCCAGAGAAGTTAAATGATTTGCCCAGGGTCATCCAGGTAGTAAGTGGCCGAGTCAGGATTTGAACCCCGTTGTTCAGACTCTAAACCCGGCACTCTTCATGACACAGCCTGTGGAGTTTGCGATTTCCAAAATCAGCCCTGGAGGACCAGATAACCTGGTCTGAGAAGCCTGGACCTGAGCAGCCTACAGCATGGGGAAGGAGCAGGCAATACCATTGCCTGTGAGAGATTCCTGTAGAATAAAGAGGGAGGTAGGGCCAAGAGTGGAAGATGAGACAATATTTTGTGACCTTGAACTCCAGATCTCCAGGCCAGCTAATCTGTGACCTCTTGACCCCAGATTCAGGGAAGCCTAAGAGACAGAAACAGACAGGTCTCCAACCTGGTCTCCTCCTGACTGACTCCCTTATTTGACTCTATGCGTCAGGTTCTCGCTGCCCACCCCCACCCCCACCCCCACATCCTGTCCAGAATCCTCCATCCCCAGTACCAAGAGGCAGGATGAGATCATATCTATATATGGATCAGAACTCTGAGAAGGAGCCAGGAGAGTGAGGGGAGTCAGAGGAGGGTAGGCAAGGAAAGCCTTCTCCAGTTCGAATTCTCCTCTGGGGCCTGCTCCTGCCCACCTTGTCATGGGATCCAGAGAGAACCATGGTGATGTTAGGACCCCCTTCCCACCCCTCACCCCCTCAGCCCCAGGGTCTCAATACTGGGGTACTGATGGATGAGTGGGAAAGATGGTAGGGCCCTTAGGAGGAGGAAGTTGAGAAGGGAAGGATGATTTAAGAGGGAAAGAGGTTAGGTCAGTGTCATCTCTGTGTTATATACGTGAGCACTCATTGATAGAAGGATCTGTGCCTTTTCTCAGGCAGCTTGTCTCTGACTCCATTCCTGTAACCATCCCTCTGTTCCTCTGCCTCCCTTTCCAATCACCTGGGAGCCCCAGGCTCTTCTCCTTCCATTCAGAGGCCTAGATCTGGCTCTAGAACCCCACCCCCGGCTGGTAGAAATAACCAGAAGGGTTGTCATGAAACATGAAAGTAGTAGGATTTGTGTGTATGGAGGGGTTTACTCCCCCACCCTCACCCCCCAGCATAGACACAACTCCTCTGGGCACATGGGAAGGAGAGCGAAAGGGAGGATTCCAGCACATTTACACAACTAAGGGAACATAGGAGGGAATTTGTCCTGCTTCCCCTAGTACCCTTCACTGGACCAGGGAGATTAATTATACTATACTACAAAAATCCTATACTATACTACAAATCCTATACTACAAAACTTTGCTAAATTTAATGCAACTCCCCATTTTACAGATAGGGAAAGTGAGACCTAGGCACTTCCCAGGAACTGTACCACCTTCGGCTCCTGTACTGCTACGGAAGGACCAACCAAACTTTTAACTCTGTAATATTTTCCAAATTTTTCTAGTTCTGTAGCCTGGTCAATAATATATGAGGATATTTGCCATTTAGGATTTTTGCCAACTTCTGTAAATGCCGCCCTTCTTTCTTGGCGGTAAATGAGTTGATGATACTTGCCAGAGAACATTTACATGCATAAGTAGTTACATTGGTAAACTGAGGCTGGATCCACCTTAATAACAGAATCCTTGATTCATATGTAGAATCCAAGGGGTGAGGGATGGGGTAAAACTGTAACACCTTAAAGCAAAGGAGCTGTTGCTTTCTCTTGAGATGAAAGCCCAAACGCCTCACTTTACAGATGGGGAAATTGAGGTGGAGACTTTCCAATAACTCTCTGGACTCTGTCCAATAGCTGTCCATCTCAGTTCCCATGTACTATCCCCCTTGGGACATCCAAGCACCTTCTTCCAATCCCAGGGACCCAGAGCCCCAGGGATCTCTAGGCCCCCTTACCTATTTTCAGCCACCAGGATCTGCTCCAGCAGCTGAGCCGCCAGCACTCGGGTGTCCAGCTCGGGTGCCTGCAGCAGCTGTAGCAGAAGGTCGAGGCCTCCTTCCAGGCGGATGGCCTCACACAGCCCCTTGGCCACCTCACGACCCACAGTGGGGATGACCCACGCCTCCTCCACCAGCTGGAACACTTCGGACAGGCCGGTGCCCACCGCCTCCGGGCTGCCCGCCTGCTTGAGCCCCGACAGCGCCAGCTGCAGCTCGGGCAGCACCCGCTCCAGAGCCCCCTGCACCTCTACACTGGCCCCCGGCGACACCTCCCGGGCAATCCCACCACCCACTGCCCACCAGCTGCCTCCTGTGCTCCTGGGTACGGGCACTGACAGCCGCTCGGGGCCTGACATGGTGAAGAAGCGGCAGAGTTTGTAGGCGGAGAAGAGCAACGTCAAGACCATAGAGGCCGAGTGGTCAGGCGAACATCCCTGAGGATCAGGGCATGGGCTCGGAGGGACAGGACCGCGAGAGGTGGTCTTCGGGGGGTCGGCAGGGGGGAGTTGGGAGGAGGGATGGAGGTTGGAGCCGGAAATGGAGCGGAGGTGGGGGGCGGGTGGAGACTGATGGAAGGAGTTGGAGGGAGAGAGGAAATGGAAGAGGGATGGAGAGTGAGAACTGGAAAGGAGGTGAGGGGTCGGGGACTGGGAGAGGAGATGGAAGGAGCGAGATGGGTCAGCTGTTGTGGGAGGCAAGCTAGGCTGGGAATGGAGCGGGGAGGGGGTGGGGAGAGGTTTGCAGATGCGATTGGGGATAAGCAGGGAAGGTGACGACAGTCCCAATGATGAGATAAAGAGGTTTGGGGGCAGGGATGGAGGATGCGGAGATGGAGAGCGGGAGGGGGAGGGAGGTGCCCAAGAATGAGGCGCTGTGGTTTCAGGCTGCTGATGGAGCTGGCGGTTGGCTCTGTCCGCGGTGCTCGCCAGGCCAAGGCAGGGCTCAGAGGAGGCCGAACAAAGCCACTTCACTGGGAGCCTCGGAGTGCTTAGCAAAGACCCCGCCTCTGCCACTGAGGGACAGCTGGAGAACGGAGAGCCCGCCCAGCCCGGCCTAGCTTAGCTCTGGCTCAGGCCCCGCCCCTCCTCTCCTCTGCAGCCACCCCAAACTTAAGGTCTAGGGAGGAGCTGCTTCCTGCTGGCCCACCCCTTGGGAGAGCTCCCCTTAAAAAGGGGGTGCATCCCTCCTCAGGGCACCCCAGGAATGCCTGGTGGCTCTCTAGGAACCACTAGTGTCTCCTAGCTATTCATAAAAGATTTATCCAGATGAATTTACAAATGACTTCTATAAAAGCTTTAAAGATTAAACCTTATACTACAAAAATTTTGCTAAACATTGGAGAAAAAAGGCACCCTATCCTTTTTTAAAAGAATGTTATTTTTCTCAATTACATGTAAAATTATTTTTAACATTCATTTTATATAATTTTTGAGTTCAAAATTCCCTCCTTCTTTTCCCTCCCCCCCTTCTTGGGAAGGTAAGCGCTTTGATATAAATTATAAATGTGAAGTCATGCAAAATATATATCCATATTAGTGATATTGCAAAGAGAACACAGACCAAAAACAGAAAAATAAAGAAAGTTTAAAAAACACTATGCTTTGATCTGTGTTCTGACTCGGTTGGTTCTTTCTCTGGAAGACAGCATTTTCCATCATAAATCCTCTGGAATTGTCTTGAATTATTGTATTGCTGGGAACAGCTAAGTCATTCACAGTTGATCATCATACAATATTGCTGTTACTGTGTACAATGATCTCCTGGCTCTGCTCACTTCACTTTGCATCAGCTCATGTAAGTCTTCCCAGGTTTTTCTGAAACCATCCTGCTTGTCATTTCCTATAGCACAATAGTATTCCATCACAATCATATACCACAACTTATTCAGACATTCTCCGATTTATGAGCATCCTTTCAATTACGTATTATAATACAAAATTCCTTATGTATTATACGCCAGGCTGCTCAGAATTAGATCAATAAATGAAAAAAAGCCTAGAGCAAAATACAGCATTCATTTATGTTAAAACTTACCCACCCCCAAAAGTAAAAATACATACATACATATACATACATATGTGTGTGTGTGTGTGTGTGTGTGTGTGTGTGTGTAAATCCAAGAGCTAGTATTGTTGCAGTGGGGAAATATTGTAAACACTCTCAGTAAAGCAATGACATCCCTTCTCCCTTTTATTATTTGACCAAATACTAGAAATACTAGCTATAGCTTATGATAAGACAAGGTGATTAATAACTACAAATTACAGAATGCAAAAAAAAATCAAATCAGAAATAATCAAAACCAGGAAGAAATTATAAAAAGAAATAATTCTGTTCAGAATAATTACAAAATGCATAAAATATCAGAATTTAATCTACCTATTTTAACCTATTTAACCTATTTTTATTCAGAACTTAACAAACAGCAGCTAGGTTGCTGAGTGGATAGAGCACTGGCCCTGGAGTCAGGAGGACCTGAGTTCAAATCTGACCTAACTTACTAGCTGTGTGACTCTGGGCAAGTCACTTAACCCCAATTGCCTCACAAAGAAAAAGAACTTAGCAACCAGCAAATAATATGAGCGATTCCATATTAGATGATATTTATATTATATGCTTTAAGTTAAGTAACTTGCCCAGGATCACACAGCTAGAAAGGTTCTGAGGTGTCTAGAATTAGTAAGGTGTATTGAAATAATTGAAGCCATACCCATTGTTCAAGATTAGGTGAGAAGCATCAAATCTGATTGATACTGGTTAAAAACCATAAAAGTAGATCAATAGAACAGACTTGGTACAATAAAACTGAGTTTAATAAACCCAAGGAGAGAAACTACTGGGGAAAGAACTCATACTTTATCAAGAATTGCTTGAAAAACTGGGAAGTAGTTGAGTAAAAAAATGAGTTTAAACCAACATTTCACACCACATACCACAATAAGCTCCAAATGGATAAGCAACCTCAATGTAAAAGAGCATATAATATTAAAAATTAGAAGAGAACGAAAGAACTTTTCAGAACTATGGTTAGAATGACTAGTGAGAAAATATGCTTGATGTGAATGTATCTGTAGAGCCTATATCAGATAGCATGCCATCTTGGGGAAGGGGAGGGGAGGGAGAGGAAGAAAATTTAGAATTCAAAATCTTAAGGAAGTGAATGTTGAAAACTAAAAATAAATATATTTTTTAAAAGAACTATGGTTAAAGGTTTGGTCTATAAGCAAACAAAGGAGAGAGGAGATTAAAAAAAGTCAAATGCAATAATTCATGTGCTACAGTTTGTTAAACCATTATCCAACTGGATCCAGGAACATTGATGCAGTTTCCATTTTTTCCCCTACCATTAAAGTGCTATGAATATTTTGTTATATTTGGGAACTTCTTTCTGTCTTTGATCTCTTTGCGAGGGGGTGGGGGGACTGGGGAGGGTGGGATTAGGGGCTGGGGGGAGTGGGGAAGGAATTCACCCGGTAGTAGGATCACTGAGTCAAAGGTCATGAACAAATACACGAGAAGAACGGAAGGAAACACAGACAAGCAGGACAATTTTGAAAGTTACATGTTGAATTTATTACATACTTTAAAAAAAAAGCAAGTTATACAAAGTATCTACAATTCATTTGTTTCATGTACAATTCATTGTCTGGTCACTAGGTGGTGCAGTGGATAGAAGTAAGATGGAAACGAAATGAATATTCACGAATTGCCTTGGAGAATGGTGGCACCCATGGTGGCATGTGAATGTAACAGAATTATTGCCATATAAGAAATGAGGAAAAGGAGGAAATCAGAGAAGTATGGTAAGATTCATATGGCCTGATGCAAATCAAAAAAAAGTCAAACTAGGAGAATAATACACACAGTGACTACAGTAACAAAAGAAAATGATTCTAACAGGTGGTCAGACTGTGATTATTTGTTGTTTCCAAGCTTTGTACCAGCAAAAAAAAAAATGGTGAAACTTCTTTCCACTTGGGAGAGAGTTGAGGGATTGTGGGTACAAAGTGTTAAATACACTGAAAGAGACAGTTTCTGTATCAGTTTTGCTTGTTTTCATCTGTCCCAATGGAGGATTCTCTAGTTAGAGGGGGAATGTCAGGAAATGACCATGGTATGAGAAGAAAAGATATCAAGAAGACATTTTTGTTTTTTTAAGACTCATGAAGGTGTAGAAAAGAATTCCCAGGTTTGGAATCAGAGGACCCGGATTTAAATTTCAGCTCTGCTCTACGTGGGCAAGTTACTTTCCTTGTCAGGGTCTCAGTGTTCCCAATTGTAAAATGAGTGATTTGGGCTAGGTGACCAGAAAAGTTCCATCCTCAGAATTAAAAAACAAAAACAAACACAAAATGCTACCCCAAAAAAAGCAGTCACATTTGGCCCCCAGGCCTCGAGCTGCATTTTCTTATCCTCTCTCTAATCTTTTGTTCTCATGAATGGGCTGAGGGCTGTGGGGCCCCTATTGTCCCCCCTTGCCTCAGTTTACCCCTTGGTGAAATTCAAATCTGCTCTCTCTTTGGGGCCCTCAGGGAGAGGAAAGCTTTAGTCTGCTTCAAGCTTTGTTGTCCCTCCCCCTTCAGAAAGGTTTAGTGGAAAGATTGGATTTAGAATCAGAGGTTCAGGGTACTAACTCTGGTTCTGCTTTGCACTAAATGTGTTACCTTTGGTGAATTACTTCCCTTCTCTGTGTGTCAGGGTTTGGTTTGGTTTTATTTTCCTGCAAAATGCTCGTTGAGCTAAGGTCCCTTTCTCTTCTAAATCTTATGATCCCATGGTGCCTGGGGTCGTGATAGCCGTTGTGGCATAAAGTTTCTCTCCCAACTCTATCCCACCCAAGACCCCATAAAGAGGAGCAGAAAAAATGAAAATGAAAAAAATGAAAAGAGGAGGACAGACCTTTGCAGATCAAAAGTCCTTTCCCACTTCCTTATTTCCACCTCTCTCCAGGTCATTCAATAAAGAGGATGAAAATGTTGTTCTTTCCTACTCCCTCACTCAGAGCCCAGAGGTCTGTTAACCAGTAACCAGCAGGAGAGGAGCAAAAGGTCAGGGTCGAAATTCTGACATGCCCCTGATTTTTTCAGATTCCCTCCTCCTCTATGGGCTTTTCCTTTTTTTTTTTTTTTAACCACCTATTCCAACCAGAATGGGTGAGTGAGACTCAAAACCATGTCCTTTGAGAAAAAGAGGAATAGTTGAAGAAATAGGGGATGTTAGCAGAGAAGAGAAGGTTTGGGAAGGGCATGAGAGTTGTCTTCAAATATCTGAAGAGGTGGAGGAGAGATTAGACTAATGTTGTGTCTTTCCAGAGAGTAAAACTTTGTAGCACCCATTGCAAGAAGGAATTAGATTGCTTTTTAATATTTGGAAGGAATTAATAATCAGAGCTGTCTGGCAATGGAAGGTGGTAAGCTCTCCTTATTGGGAACTATGCAAGCATAGTCTGTGTGCTTTATAGGGGACTTCTCCATGGGATAGGACAAGATAATAATGATTATAGCTCACATTTCTACAGTTCTTTTAAAGTTTGCAAAGCATTTTATATACACAAGGACATTTGAGCCTCACCATAATCTTCTGGGGGAGGTGCTTACTTTTAAACCCATTTTACAGCTAGAAAAGTTACAGTGGCTTGCCCAGTTTCACACAACATTTGAAGCAGAATTTGAACCTGGGTCTTCCTGACTCCTAGTCCAATGCTCTATTTACTATGCAACATTGCTGATCAAAGTTCCCATCTGATTCTGAGCCTACAATTCCTGAATATTCGAAACACTACAATTTTGTGATAAAATGTAATGAATGTGATCTATTTTCCATCACTGGACTAACATGGAGGTTTGAGCTTTAAAATGCCCTTAAAACAAGTACTACACTGAATTCCATTTTCCTCCAAATTTTCCCATACCCACTTAGTGCTTGCAGAATTTTTAAAGAGGGAGAGTAGTAGTATTCCTTCTTAGCTAGGACATCTCTGGCAGATGCATTTGACCTTCTGGTCATTGGGCAGGCAGGGAGGGGAGAGGTTGGGCAAACAAAGTGAGGGTACCTCCTCCTTCCTTCCCTCCCCACTTCTTTTCAGAGTTCCTCACTCAGAGCTCACAGTAGTTCAGCACCAGTCTGAGTCCCAATACGGAGGGACATGTCCCCCACCTCCCTCCTAGTGGTCCTCCTTGTCTGTGCTGCTTCAGCTGATCAAGGTAACAAGTCCCAGTGAGGGTTGGAGAGGGACACCAACTCTTATGCCCATTCACTTCTCTGCTCATGGGCAGACATAAGCAAGAAGGGTCTTGGGTGCTTGGGGGCGCCTGCCTAGCAGTAGGACCAGCTGAGACAAGTCTGATCCCCCCTCTTCTCCCCTGGTCCCCCTCCCCACCCAATCCAGAGTCATGCCAAGGTCGCTGCACAGAAGGCTTCAATTCCAAAAAGAAGTGTCAGTGTGATGAACTCTGCTACTACTATCAAAGCTGTTGTGCCGATTATGTTGAAGTCTGCAAACCCCAAGGTATGGTGCCTGCCTCCTTGCCCATGTGACTGGGGCACCACATATTTGCAGGGCTGCTGGGAGATCAATTTAGGAAGGGGTCTGGGCTCCCTGTTTAGGGTGGGAAGGGGATCATCTCGAGCTATCCTGGCAAGTTTCTAGCTGTCTAATCATGGGTAAGTAATATGGCCTCTCCAAGTCTCAGGGTCTTCATCTGTAAAATGAGAATAATCATACCTGTAATACCCCACAGGGCTGCTGGGAGAGCTGTGATAATATGCTAAGTGCTTTGTAAATCCTACAATGGTATAAACATGTCAATTGTTATTATTGTCATTATTGTTAGTGATGGTAGTCAATACAGTAGTAGTCAATAAACCGATCAATAAGCATTTATTAAGCACCTACTCTATGCTAGGCACCATGCAAATCATTAGGGATAGGCAAAACCAGTCTCTACCCTTAAGGAGCTTACATTCTAAGGGGGGAGAATAGTAGTATTTCTTCCCAGCTAGGACCAATGCTGGGGGGGGGGCAGCGCCGATCTCACCCCTCCCCCTCCTGAGGTATGTGTCTCTTATACAACTTACTTTTCTCCAATGACGGTGTTGGAGGTTCAAGACTCTTTCTTTCCCTAGTGAATCGTGGAGATGTGTTTACCATGCCTGAGGATGACTACTCATACATTGAGTATGGCATCCAGGGCACCAGTGCGCCAGTCAGCATCCAGTTACCTGACAGCATCACCGCTGCAAGTAGTGCCCAGTTCACCACGACAGATTCCTTCACCAACACTGGACAGGAAACCTCCCAGGATGCTGACTTCAATGTGTACCAAGATCCGGAAACCACCACTGAAAGCCCTTTTATAGAACCTGAAGAAGAAGAAGAGCAAAAGGAAGAAGTGTGCAGTGGGAAACCTTTTGATGCCTTCACTGACCTCAAAAATGGCTCCCTTTTTGCTTTCCGAGGTGCCTGGGGTGGGGGGGCAGAGAGCTGAGGGGGTACTGAGCCAGAGGAGCTGGAGGGGATGGGGGTGGGGTAAAAGGAGGTGAGGGAAGTCCTAGGTTTGGGAAAACCATCTACTCAGGGTCTGCTGCTCTCCCTTTCTTCCCCTTGGAAATTCCAGGGAAGTATTTCTATGAGATGGATGAAAAAAGTGTACTTCCTGGGTACCCCAAAAGGATACTGGATGTCTGGGGCATTGAAGGGCCCATTGATGCTGCCTTTACCCGGATCAACTGCCAGGGGAAAACCTACTTCTTCAAGGTGGGAGTGAAAATAGAGTGGTCTGATGAGAGAAGGCCCCAGGGGAAGGAATTTCTGGGGAATGTCTCAGGAGGGGAGAAGGGCTAAATATTCCTTTTGAGAAATGCCAAGCACAAAGGATACAGTATGATTTGTAAAGGAAGATGGGTTAGCTTGGAACACTGGGTCCTTTGACACCAACTCTGAGGCTGAGGGCACCGCTGGAATTCCAAGGGCAGGAGATACGCAGCCTTTGGGGGTGGGGAGAGGCATCTTCCTTGGGCAGGCAGTGTGATACAGAGGAAAGAGCATCAGATCTGAAGTGGGAGAATTTGGGTTTGAATTCTGACTGCTACTCTCTACCTGTGTGATTTTGGGTAAGTCACTTCACATCTCTGGATCTCTGTAAAGTGAAGGGATTGGATTAGATGACCTCAGAGATCCCTTGCAGTTAAGATCTATGATCCCAGCCTCGTTTCCCACAGGGCAGCTTGTATTGGCGCTTTGAGGATGGCATCCTGGACCCGGGTTTCCCAAAAAACATCTCAGATGGCTTCAGGAATATTCCAGACAATCTTGACGCTGCTGTGGCCCTCCCTGCCCACAGCTACAATGGCCAAGAGCGTGCCTACTTCTTCAAAGGTTTGAGGGTGTAGTGAGGGAGGAGGGAAAAGGAGAGGGAGGATCCTAGCCATGTAATCAGCTCCCCTGACCCCATAGCACAGTCATCCAGAGTGACCTTAGGAGTATATTTGCTCCATTTTCTAGGCCTGATCCCCTATACAGTGGATATCTGGCCACTTACGCCAGAGATCCCTTTGTAATTGTTTGTGCCAAAGCCTCTACCTGCATCCCCATGCTAGGACAGTATTGAAAATCAGCACTGATTTTTCCTGTTTCGTCAAATACCCTAGTGGCCTTCATCAAAAGCAATAGGAACAGCAGAGAGGCAGTTTGGCAAGGGAACCACACCCGAATGAAGAAAGGCCTGAGTTTGAATATCATTAACGAGACTTATTAGCTGTGTGACCCTGTGCCAGTTTAGCCTTTATAAGCCTCAGTTGGATCAAATGGGAGACTATATGAAACTGTTTTGTAAACCCTAGAGAAATCTCAACAATTGTTATCAAGGACCCTAAGACCATCTGATCCAATCCCCTCATTTTCCACAGAGGAGAAAACAGGCTGGGCTAGCTGAAGTGACTTAGAAAAATGGGTCTAGAATCTGCCCGGAGTCCCAGACCAGTGTCCTTTGCACTCCATCTCTAGGGTGGTTCTGGAGTCAGGAAGAAGCCCATGTGCCCCAAGGCTTTTCAGGTTGAGGAAAGGGAACATGAATTAATTAAGCCCCTGCTGTGTGCCAGGCAGCTAGGTGGCTTGGTAGATAGAGCACTGGACCTAGAGTCAGGAAGACCTGAGTCCAAATACAACCTCAGACACTAGCTGTGGGACCCTGGGCAGGTCGCTTAACCTCTGTTTGCCTTAATTCACTGGAGAAGGAAATGGCAAATCACTTCAGTATCCGTGCCAAGAAAATCCCGTAGACAGCTTTGGCATGTTATGGTTGATGAGGTTGTGAAGAGTCAGAAATGTCTGAATGACTGAATAAATGTGCCAGGTACTGTGCTAGGCCATTTCCAAATAGTGTCATTTGATCCTCACAATAACTCTAACCTCCCTAGCTGGGAGGCAGGTGCTATTATGACCCCCTTTTACAGGTGAGGAAATTGAGGCAGACATTGGTAAATGACTTGCCTAGGGTCACTAGAAAGTGTCTGAGGCTGGATTTGAACTCAGGTCTTCCTGACTCCAGGCCCAGCACTCTGTTCCCTGTGCCACCTAGTTAAATGAATAAGACTATTGGTAGTTGTCTATTTCTAACCCTTAATCCTGCTCTTTATAGGATTGTAGAAGTAGAATTGGGAGATCTTAACGATTATCTAGATCAATGCTCTTACTATACAGATGAGGGACCCACCGCCTAGGGAGGGGGAGTGACCTGGTTAAGGGTAAAGGTCAGATAGTCACTTCCATTTCGTGTTTGCCCTTCCCCATCTCTTAGGAAATCAGTTCTGGGAATATGAGTTCCAACAGCAGCCCAGCCAGGAGGAGTGTGAAGGGAGCACAGTGTCCACAGCGTTCGAACACTTTGCCGTCCTGCAGCGAGATAGCTGGCGGACCATCTTTGCAGTCCTCTTCTGGGATGGTGAATCAGGTATCCTACGCCCTCTCTGCTTCCAGGATAGTCACGTGGGCCAGGCACTGTCCTAAGCGCTGAGGAATTAATCAAGAAACAAAAGACAATGCCTGACCTCGAGGACCTTGCAACCCAACAGGGGAGCAGCAGGGCCTCCGGTGTTCCCTCCACCTCCTTCACCTGAGTCGTCAGCCCTGGGCATGGTTAACCCCTCCCTTCTTTTCCCCGTTCCCATTCGGTGTAGGTGGTGGCTGGGATGCTGATAGGGTATAGGAGGACTTGAGAGTGGGAGGAGGCCCCAGTGGGAGCCCACAGAGTTTATGACCTTACGATTTCTATTTGCTTAGCCCTAGACTTTGCTGCTATTGACCCAAGCCCAACTTGGCTCAGCTCAGACCCCACACTTCGGACTTTGTCTGGCGTGGTCCAGGAGGCATAGTCTGGGGGGGGGGGGGGGGGAGTTCTGGGCGGGGAAAGAGGGGGGGGGGGGGCTCAGAGGATTGGAATAGGGAGAGTCCCTTCCTCCAAACCCCAAGGTTGGGGGACAAGCAAAGGGTTTCCCCAGAGGTGATCTTCTGGAGGATGGGGCAAAAAGCAGTAGAGTGTCTGGTGTGGCGGAAGGCAGGAGGGCTGGGGTCTGTACCAACTCATGGTATGCTGGAAAAGAATACTGGATTTTGAGCCAGAAGAACTAGGCTCAAATCTCAGCTCTGCCACTTACTACCTGTGTGACTTTGGGAAAGACATTTAACCCTCTGGGCCTCAGTTTCCTCATCTGTAAATCAAAGGGGTTGGATTATAAGGTCCTTTCCAGCTCTAGATATGTGCTCCTATGATCCAGTTACCAGTTGTATGAACATAGGAAAGTCACTTCCCTTTTCTGGACCTCGGTCACTCTCTGTAAAATGAGAGGGTTGGTCTAGATGGTTCTGAGCGTGTTTCTCCTTGGGCATCAGGGAAGTGGGTACAAGAGTGTCAGAGTTGGAACTGGGGCTGTGTGTAGAGAGTTCTGTGGGCTATGTTTCACAATGACCCATTCTTTGCTTGGCCCCCCCAGAAGGAACAAGTGGCCCTTGGCTCATCAGTGAGCACTGGCACGGGATGCCCAGTAGGGTAGATGCTGCCATGGCGGGCCGCATTTACTTCTCCTCCACAACTTCTACTCACTCTGATTTGGTTCGGAAGCGCAAGGCCAAGGCCAAGGCCAAGGCCAAGGCTAAGGCCAAGCGCCTTCGTAAGCGTAAACGCTACGGGTCACGGAGTCGCCACTCCCGCCGCTCCCGGGACATCTGGGGTTGGCCATCTTCAGAAGAATATGGGGCAGACTATGACCTGGACTTCAACCTTGAATGGTTCCAACCATCCCAGTGTGAACCCATCCAGAGCATCTATTTCTTCGTAGGAGGTGCGCTCCCCTCTCCCCTCTCCCCTCTCCCTTTCTAGGCTTTCTGTCTTTCCCCTCCTTCTCCCTTCTCCCTTCCCCTTCTCTTCCTTCCCCCTCCCTCCCTTCCTCTCTTTCCCTCCCTCCCCTTCTTCCTTTCCCTTCCCCTTTTCTTCCTTTCCCCTCCATCCTTTCCTCTCTTTCTCTCCCTCCCCCAATCCCAGAGCCCAGTCTGCATCCTACTCCCAGTAACCATCTCATTCCGAAGGAGGCATGACCATGGGGCCAAGGGTGCGGGAGCTCTGGCCTGCCCCTCTCCCTCCAAATCCCTCTCCCCTCCCAGGGAAGAACAGCCTTCTCCCTTGGAGAAGGGGTGGGAGAGGGCTCTGGAGGCGAGCTGGGGCCAGGAAGGGTCTGGGCTGCAGACAGGAATCAAAGCCTCACTACACAAACACCCCGTTCTCTCTTTCAGACAAGTATTACCGGGTTAACCTTCGAACCAAGAGGGTGGACGATGTGACTCCTCCGTACCCACGCTCCATTGCTCGGTACTGGCTGGGCTGTCCAGCTCCGAGTGCTTTTGAGAAATGAACTGAACTGCCACAGCCCAAGCACCTCTGGGGGGCCCCTCAGACCCGATCCAATCTAGCAAAGATAGATTAAGGATATATACTATGTCCAGGGAACTGTGCGAGGCATATGAAGACCAAAAGAAAAATGGTCCCCATCATTGTGTGTGCTTTTAATAAAGTCCTTTTGGCCTATGTAGTACTTTCTAAAATTGTTATTGATCATCAATTCAGAGCTGAAAGGAAACCTTGGGGGCCACTGAGTCTGGCTCCCTCTGCCCATTTTGCAGATGAGGAACATGAGGCACTAAGAGGTTAAGTGATTTGCCTAGAGTTACACAACTAATAAGTGTCTGTCTGAAGCAAGATTTGAACTCAGGACTTTTTGGCTCTGAGGCCAGTACTCTAGTCCCTGAACCATACAGTTGCTAGTGGATGGGATACTGAACTTGGAGTCAGGTGGACACATGTTCAAATCCTGCCTCAGACATCAATTTATGTGTGTGACCTTGGGCAAGTCACATAACAAACCTCTTTCAGTCTCAGTTTTCTTATCTATAAAATGGTGATAATAGTGTTTACTAGGTCTTTGAGATCATCAAATGTGATAACATGTAAAACACTTACAGAAATGCTGTTATTATACCTCACTGTATATGTGAATATGAAAGAGAGGGAGGACCGCATGTGTAGATAGGGACCCACATGTGGTTAGGCCTGTCATGTGGTTCCAAAGGGGGCAGCATAGACATCTCTAGCCTCTTCTCCCCCCCATCCTTCTCCAAGGGATCCTTTCATTCCTGCCCAAAAGTTGGGGCCAGAGGCTGCTTTCTGCTCTCCTCAGAGAGAGGGGGTACTGAGCTAGAAGTATATCTATCTGTGCCCTTAAATATTATTAGTCTAGGGGATATGATAGGGTTTGAGCTAACACTTGATCACTTTGTCATTTCTAGGTGGAAGAGGGATCCCAAATTCTATATCTAAGGCTTGACTGCTTTCCCATCAAATAGCAGTTTCTCAATGAATAGACATAGCAAATAAACCCATTTACCCAAATCACAGCAAAACAGAAATCGCAGAAGGTATATATAGGAGAGTATCTACCAGACAATACAGAGTGAAGGAGCTCACCCATTGGAAATAAGATAACTCAGCTTAGCTGAGAAAGGGTCCTGGTTCTCACCCCAGGGGAAATTCCCCGACGTCTCTAGAGTAGCAAGCTGGGAATAGGGACGTGATGGAGACGGCCAGCTCCCCTCATGTTTCTCAGTCATTTCCTTCAGCAACCGGTCAGCCTCTTCCGTCTTTTCTCTCGAAGCTGGGAGCCAGAAGCTCCCAGAGCAATTGGACACTTGAAGAGTCCCAAAGATTTAAATTTGATGAGTCCCCCAAAAAAGACTTACCCAGAAGAGCCCCAAAAGAGACTCAGAGGGGACTGGCTGAGAACTGAAGCTCTCTCAGCTACTTGGCCTTACCCCTTCTGCAGGACAGGGCATTGGCCTCCACAGATAAGAAGAGTCATATGTCAGTGGGCTTTGGGACAGGGGTTACACATGCACATACACATACACATGTATGTATATATGCATGTGTGTGTTATTGTTCAGTTGTTTAGTCATGTCTGACTCTTCATGACCTTATGGACATAGCACACCAGGCCCTATGTCCCTGGTCGTGCTATCTCCCAAAGTCTATCCAAGCTCGTGTTTGTTGCTTCTATGACACTATCCATTCATCTCTTCCTCTACCATCCCCTTCTCCTTTTGCTTTCAATCTTTCCCGACATCAGAGCCTTTTCTCGTTATGTGGCCAAAGTATTAAAGCTTCAGCTTCAATATTTGTCATTCCAGCTCATAGTCTGAATGAATTTCTCTAAGTATTGACTGATTTGATCTCCTTACTGTCCAAGGAATTCTCAAAACTTTTCTCCAACACCACAATTCAAAAGAGATGATTCTGCACACTCAGCTTTCCTTAAAGTCCAACTCACCACCATACATTGCTACTGGAAAAACCATAGCTTTGACTCTACAGACCTTTGTCAGCAAGATGGTGTCTCTGTTTTTTAGTAGCTGTCCAGATTTGCCATAGCTTTCCTTCCAAGAAGCAAGCAACTTTTAATTTCATGGCCGCAGTGATCTTTGAGCCCAAGAATATAAAATCTGACACTGCTTCCATTTCTTTTCCTTCTATTTGCCAGGAAGTGATGGGACCAGTTGCCATGATCTTAGTTTTTGGGGTTTTTTATGTTAAGCTAATACATATGCTCATACAGGAAGTGCAGGGGCTACTACTCACGGGCCAGTCCCAGTCTGATCAGTATGGGAGCTTTGATCTGCTCTGTTTCTGTCCTGGGTCAGTTCACTCCTCCTTAGACAAAACCTTCATCCTGGTATCTTCACTATCCCAATACTGAACACACCGGGGACCCCAGAATCGGCTTAGCCCAGGGACCCCAAGATCACCTTAGCCCAATGTAGCTCAGAATTCAGAAATTCAAGCAATCTGTCAGCTTCAGCCTTCGATGTAACAGGGATCACAGATGTGTACTATCATGCCCTTCCTATCTTAGTTTTACAATCACCCTCACATATATCCATCCCACTGACACTCCCCAAAAAGTTTTCCCTTGTTTAGTAAAGAATACAAAAGAAAGAGGAGGCAAGGGAACACCAGTTCAAACTGATCAAAACCTCAACTGAGTCTGACAGTATATGCAACATTCCATACCCATAACCCCCCCCACATCAACAAAGCAGGGAGGGAGACCCATTTTCTCTTTTCTTCTTGGGGTTAGCATCTATATTCTGAGGTAACCTCTGTCCTGGTGGTAGAGGAGAAGGGGTGAGAAGGATGGGAAGAAAGGTATTAGGAACATTGTCTTTAAACCTGGGTGGGACATTTTATGAAGAATCTGCCAAGTTAGAGAACATTTAGTGGAGTGCCTATACCGGGGATGGGGAGGGGCTTTGAGACCATGCCTGGAAGGAACTGGGGATGTTTGTTTCCTTTAGAGGAGACTTAGGGAGACACAGTACCTGTTTTAAAGCATTCAAAATACTGTGATGGGTTAGTTAGGTAATACAGTAGAGAGAGAGGTGGGGTAGGAGTCAGGAAGACTTAAGTTCAAATCTAGCCTCAGGCATTTAGCTGTGTGACCCTGGGCTTCACTTCACTTCTGTCTGTCTCAGCTTCCTCACCTGTAAAATGGGGATAATAATAATGCTGGGAGGATCAAATAATTGTAAAGCTCTTAGCACAGTGACTGGCACATAGGAGGTGCTATATAAATGTTAGCTATGATGATGATGATTATGCCATGAATGAGAGGAATCCTGATCTGTTCACTTTTGAACCCAGAGAGAATGAAGGGGTCTAAGTGGCTGAGGTATATCAAGTCCTAACAAAGAGAGCTGTACCAGAGTGGGATGGGTGGTGTCAGCAAGCAGTGGGATCCACTTGTCTCATCTGAGATCTTCACGTAGAGGTTGGAAGACCACTTACTGAGAATACAATAGAGGGATTTTTTGTTTGGCCATAGTTTGGACAAGATGGACTTTGAAGTTCCTTCCAGACCTGGGATTTTATGAATTATGTGAAGGTGACGGATCTGTCTCGGTAAAGGCATCTGGGGATATCCATGAGGGGTACTAGGATCGGTGACCATGGTATGTGGCGGTTATGGGAGCGTGTAAATGCACTGACTATGGCAATGTTCCTCATCTATCTGGAATCCTTGTCAGTGTGGCTGTATGAATAGAGGGAGAGAGGAGTATAGAGGTCTGTGCCTGGCAGAGCTTAGGGAATGTGGGCATCCCCTACCTGAGGTCATCCTCTGATCCCTGGTCCCCTTCTCCCCAGCCCCCTAATAACTTTAATCTCTTGGTACTTCCATTCTCTAGGGAGATAACCTTTCATGAGCTGACCTAGTCTATTCCTTTGGTCTTGGTCAGATTCTATCCTTTCTATTCCTAGGCTGAGGCATCTATCTCTGGGAAATGGGCAGGGGCAGGAACCCCAAATTCATCTGCTCCCCACCACTAAAAATGATGCTGAGCATCTCTAGCTGCTCCATTAAGCAAAAATAATGCCATAAGGAAAGGACATGGAGTATGGCATATGGGATAAAGACTGCCCCTTGAAGCTAGAAAGACCTGGGTTCTAGATGACCCAACCTGGCTGTGTTACCCTGGACAAGTTCCTCAACTTCTCAGTACCCCCAGGCAACTTTGTGGTCTAGGGCTTCCCCCCCCCCCAGGGCCTCAACTTCCTCCTCTGTACAATGAGTTGGTTGGGGGCAGCTAGGTGGTGCAGTGGATAGAGCACAGGCCCTGGAGTCAGGAGGACCTGAGTACAAATCCAGCCTCAGACACATAACACTTACTAGCTGTGTGACCCTGGGCAAGTCACATAACCCCATTGCCTAGCAAAATAAATAAATAAATAAATGTTTATTTAAAAAATGAGTTGGTTGGATTAGTTGACTTCTAAGGTCCTTTCCAGTCATAAATCTATATGTCTAAGGAGACCAATTGATGGGGTTGAGATTTGGGCCCCCAAAGGAAAAACCCTCGACTTTCCCACATGGCCAAATCTCTGGCATTAGCCTGAGGCTATAATCCCATCAATTGGCCTTTCCTTGTGGCTACTACACCCACTCTCCCAATTCTGTTAACCCAGCCTGGCCTTCCTTTGTCTTACCTTGCTATGTATGGCCCCCGGCCATTTCCCACCCTTAATCCCAGCTAGGCTCCATTCTGCCTTGGCCACAAGGTCCAGGTCCCAGGAGTTCTGTTCACCCCAGCTTACTGGCCACTCCTAGGTCCCTCCCACAGGTTTTCTGTATGTAAGGTCCACCTTGTCTCCATTAAAGATGCTTAGATTCTTAGAATCTAGCCACTGCTTACTCATGTTCGCACTCCTTAAGAGGCTGCCCAATATGATGGATGTTCTAATAGACCTTGTCTTTGGTTGAAAGAAGGCTTGGGTCGAATTCTTTTGGGCAGGACCCACATATCACGATCTTGGGGTTCCAGGACCTCTGAACCCCTAAGCCGCATCACAATGAGTAACTACTGCTATAGTCAACAAACACTTATTAAGCTCTTACTGTGTACTATTGATCAAGGAAAAAGTGGAAAATAGAAAAACACAATGGAAAGAGTGCTGTACATTAAATCAGAGTTCAAACCTCCATCTGGCTTACATTATTTGTGTGGTCATGAGCAAGTCACTTGACCACTCTTCAAATAGATATGGGAAGTAAAGAAGAGGAAGGAGTCAGAGAGGACAACCAGGGTTTGAGCTGGGTGGCAGAGCGGATGGTATTGTCATGGATGGAAATAGGGAAGTTTAGAATCAAGCAGGTTTTTTGAGGGGAAAACCACGAGTTCTACTTCGGGCGTGCTGAATTTGGGATGAAGAGGGCACCGCCAGGAGGAGGTCATTGGTAGTGCAGGCAATTGACGAGGAGGGATTGGAGCTCTCTAGAGAGGATAGGGCCTCCATAAATATTGGTTGGGTCAATGTAGATTTGGGAGCACTGGGAAGAGCAGGGACAATAATCAGGGATGATAATCAAAGTTATGGGACTTCACGAGACCAAAGAGGATGAGCAGGTGGTAAGAGAAGAGAAGAAAGGAAAGAACAGAACTAACCCAACAGAACTCCTAGTAATCTAGGGGTCAGTAGGAAAAGGAGACATGGGAGGCAGCTAGGTGGCGCAGCGGATAGAGCACTGGCCCTGGATTCAGGAGGACCTGAGTTCAAATCCGGCCTCAGACACATAACACTTACTAACTGTGTGACCCTGGGCAAGTCACTTAACCCCCATTGCCCAACCAAAAAAAAAAAGAAGGAAAAGGAGACATGGAAGAAGAAAGGAGGGGCCATCAGAGAAATAGGAAGAGCCAGAAGAGAGCAGTCGCACAGAAACCAAGGGAGGAGTGGGTGGGCAACAGTGTAGAATGCTCCAAGATCAAAGAAGATGAGATGGGGATCGAGTGGTCCCTGGGGAGCTGAGAAAGGGCAGCTTCAGTAGAGTGGCACCAATTGAAGCCAGCTTGTAGCTGGTGGGGGTGTTGAGTTCTTATATCAGTGAGTCAGTCAATGAACATTTACCTCTAAAAGAGGGATCATAATAGCACTTACCTCACTGAGTTATTGTGAAGATCAGATGAGACACTACACACACACACACACACATGCTGCTTTGCAAACTTCAAAGTGCTATTATGAGTGTTAGCTATTAGGCAGCTAGGTAGTGCAGAGGGGAGATATATTGACTGTTGGGCTAGGAGTCAGAAAAACGAGTTAGGACCTGCTTCTGTTACCTCCTTAGCTGGGTGACCCTGGGGACCCCATCTGCAGAATGAGGATAAAAGCAGCACCTCCTCACAGGGTTGTTGCGAGGATTCAATAGGATAATATCTGTAAAGTGCTTGCAAACCTTAGCGTGCTACATCAATGCTAATTATTATTATTGAAGAGAGAGGGGGTAGTGAAGCAATTAGGCAGAGATCATGTAGAAGGTTGGGGTGCAAGGCAGAAGAGGGAGGAGTCCCCCTTCCCTCTAAGCTCCTTCATCACCTCTATCCCTCCCCCTACCCCAGTCTCCTTCCTCTCTTCTGCTCTCCAGTCTTTTGGATTCAGAACCCTGGGGCCTCCCACCCATTGGAGATCTCTGCCTCCCTCCCAGAAAGGGGCCGGATCTACAGAGGATCCCAGGCATTGCCACTCTTCTCATTCCAGAGGCGGGGCAGGGTTAGGCTGAGCAGGATAAAAGGCAAGGTGGGGGGAGGAGGTAGCTCAGTTGTCCAGGGCTAAGGGAGAGTAGAGGAGGAGGAGAACTTCTGGGAGCTCTGCTGGGCCAGGGGAAGATAGGGCCCCGAAAGGAGCTCAAGGCAGACCCTAGTCATGGCCCGACTCCTCCACTCAATGCTCGACTCCCCAGGAGGGGAATCAATCTCCCATCCTCCGATGGATGCCTCAGACGCAGGTGGGGCTGAAGGGGATCAGAGAGAAGAGGGAGGTTGATGGAGGTTGGAGTGTGTGAGGAATAAGAAGGGGGTAACCCCATGAAGAAGGGAGGAAGGCAGAGATAAAAAAGCTTTTGTGGATAAATTAAGGAGAGAGTCAGGGAACATAGAGTTGGGAGGAGGGATGGTGAGGAATTTTGGAGATTTAGGAAAGGATGGAGCGGCTGTTGAGTTCAGTGAGAAAGGGGGAATTGGTTGAAGAGAAGATGGGGAGAGATCAACAGGCTGAATAGAGAGGACGGACGGGAGATGGGGCTTGAAGGGGAGGGATGGGGAGACATTTGAAGAATGCACAGGAGGATGGCAGGGAGAGTGTGAGGTTGGAAATGAGGGTTGAGGTACTGGGACTGGGAGGGGATCAAAGGGGAAAGGTTAAGGGAGATTGGGTATTGAAAGACGGGGTGAGAGTTTGGGTGGCTGGAGAGGAACGATGGGGAGAAAGCTAGAGGGAAAATTGGGAGAACTTTAGGGGAGGCTTTTGACATTAAAAGGAAAGTTGGGGGAAGGGAAAAGAGAGAAAAGAAGGGACATGGACAAGAGGGAGGGGTGCTGGCCGGGGGCCAGTGTAGAGGTGAATGTCTACAGCAGTCCTGACCTTACCTGTAGGCCATTCCCTTTGCAGGTTGCGCCCCTGTGCCAAGGACCAGACGTCGGAAACGCACCACATTCAGCCGGGGGCAGCTGCTCGAGCTGGAGAGGGTGTTTGCAGCCCGGCCTTACCCAGATATTGGCACCCGAGAGCGGTTGGCACGGCTCACCCGTCTTCCTGAGGCCAAGATCCAGGTGAAACTGCCTGCCCTGCCCTTTCTTCCTGCCCTCCTCTGGTCTCCTTCAAAGAGCTGGGAAGCAGGACTCCCTTTCTCTGTGTCTGGGCCACCCTAACCTCAGACTCTGTTTTATGAGGTTTTTTTCTCTTTCTTTCTGGAAATGGAGTTAGAAGCTGGAATTGATTCTCCTTCCTCATTCCCAGGTTTGGTTTCAGAACCGCCGGGCCCGAAGAATCAAGAGCAGGAAGCCAGAAGGGTTGAGTGCCTGGACCAAAGACCCTAGGGGAACCCTTCCTCCGGCCAATAACCCTCTGCATCCCCAGGACCCTGAGAGCTGGGGACACTCCTCACCACATGACAGTGACCCCAACTCAGGCCAGCTGCCCTTCTGTCCCACTCCTGGCCTGGCCCCGGGGCACAGTGGTATGAGGGTCAAGGTATTGGGCCCTGGGGGGGTAGGTCCACCTGGGGCGGTGTCCAAGTCTCCAGGGCCACTCCACCGATGGGAACGTGGTGCCACCCAGACCTCTCTGGGAAGCCTCTCTGACCTTATCTATAATGCGGCCATCGTCACCAACTTGGATGACCCCTAATCTCGGACATGGAGATCTTCCCTCTTCTCATCCTAGGATGAACTCTTTTTTCCTTGACTCTGGAAACCCTCCACATCAGTTGCCAATTCCTGGCTCAGGCCACTTCCTTAGATAAGAGTTACTTGAGGGAGAAAAGTCTGACTTGGGTTTCCTTTCTCCTTTTCCGATCATTTCCAAGACCCAGTAAGGAGAGCTGGGCGGAGAATATATATGGGGAAGTCCAAGGGCCTGGAATCAGCTAAAGGCGCCTGCATGCGTAGGCCCAGGGCTAATCCCTTAAGGATGGAATGGTCTTTTGCAAACAGGCCAGGCCTATCCCTAGGAGGCCAAGACTTCTCAATGCACCGTCCTGGACCTGGGAGCATAGACGTCAGTGACACTGCGCTTCATCAGAATCACCCAGGGATCTAGCAGCCAACTAGTACAACCTAGGAATCCCCAGTATCACATACTACATATCACACACTATATCTCATGACTATTGTCCCCTGCAGCTGGATGACCATGGTTGAGAGATCCCTTTGGGACGGATTGGGTGAGTAGGTGGTCCTTTGTAATTCCCAATTTCCTCAACTCTCCAGCCAGGCTAACCCTTGCTGGTGACCCCCCATCCCCATCCAGTCACATTTCCTCTCTCTGAAGGCAGATGTCCACTTCCCTCTCACCCCCTCCCCAACATTACTTAATTAAAATCCAAATGTAAAGCAGAGAGAGCTGGGCAATTAGAATGCTCTCCCCATCTCTCTGCCTTCCAGCTGGTGGAGATAGCAGCTGGTCCATGGATGCTGTGGCCCAGTTCACAGAGGGTTAACCTTCCCTTCCCACATCCCCACCCCCTCTCCCCAATGGACAAATTAATCTGGACCATGGCACCTCTGTGACCAGAGGGAGAAATATCATTTTTCCTGCAGACGGAATATTATTAAAGTAATAACGAGAAATTCAGGGCTCTGAGCTTATCTGGATTTGATTTAGAACTGCTCTGACCCCGAGTTCCAAGGCCCACCTGCACCAGCCGGAGGATCCTGTACATAATGGGGTGTGGGAAAGGGAGGGCAGTGTGTTTCTGCCCATCCATCAGCTGTAATACCAACTAATCTCCCAAATAAAACCAAACCCCTCTACCTTAATCTGGAGCTGTTTTGTAAATGAGTGGCTGGGGGGTGGTGTGGTGGTGGAGATGGGGCCTCCTGGGAGTTCATCTCCATTGCCAAATCCCTTAATAGGACCAGGTTACAACACAGATCCCCTAATATCAGAAGGGACTTAGGAGGATGTTTAATCAGAGAGGCCAGGGCTCAGGTTGATGGACACTAAGAAAAAATAGGGGCTTCTTTTCCCATAATAACCTCCCCTATTCCCTGTGAGCCCCAGGTACACCCCACAGTGTGGGCACATAAAAACTGCCTTGGCTACCTTCAGCTTAAGCCAAAGGAAGTACATTCCTCTGATCTCTTTCCCATGGGGATCTTGGATTGGGATGGTGAAACATGGGCCAACTGGCTACCTAGCAAGAGTCCAGGAGAAGGAGGACTAGCCCTCATGATGTGACCTTCCTAAGTCAGGCCGACAGACCTCCCTTCTCTCCTTGATTTCCCCCCTTGGGATGAGGCACTCTTCCAGTGAAAATAAGAACCTCCCCCCCTCTCCAAGAGGTGGCAGATGGTGGGGACAAAACCAGGGAAGAGTTGTTTAGAGAAGCCTTGCTGGGGATGGGAGGCAAGAAGGATATATTCGGAAACGGAAGTCTGCAACAAAAGACATCATTAGATACCCAAAGGACAAGGTCCCACAGAACAGGAACAAAGGCTGGAGGACCTCAGAACACCCTGTGGCATCCTGTAGGACCCCAGGACAGCATGGGTGTTCAGATTAGCTAAATGCCCAAACATCTGTGGATGCAATCAAGTCTTCTGGGCATTTTTATTTAAATGTTTAAACTTTAATAGTTGTATAAATCCTATCGGCACATGACAAAACAAACTGAAAACAGCATTTAAGGACAGAAATTCTTTCTTCAAGCTCAACTCTGTGAGCAGCAGAACAGTTTAAGTGCCTTCCTCTTGAGGGGAGGCTTTTTGGGTGACAGGGTCTGAAAAAGAATTCTTTGAGAACTTTATGCAAATCCTCTATATACAGAAACACCCTTTGTATACACGTGCCTAAGTCTGTCTGTATATACACACATACCTTTTCTTATCCATTAAGCTACCACATAGGCTACATTAGATACAGTATACATAAAATCTGAAGATTTTCTCTTTGACACGTGTGCCTAAAAACCACAGTGCAATACAAAAATTTTGCAATCAAAACCAGAGCTTATGGGAAAATGAGGTTAGGAGGATAAAACTCAAAAACTTCACCGGTGACCCATTAAAAAGAGATGGGCACCTAATAAAGATGGTAACAGTTTTACACATATTAAATGGTTGAGAAATACATAAATAGTACACAATAAATAGCAGTGGTGCCTGCAGCCTCAGGCTGAGGCTCTGGGGGCCTGGGCTGGCAAACTCCAGTTGCTCCTAGGGGGAGGGTAGTTTCAGTGGATGCCTACTCTGGGGCTGGGGGTGGGTCTTGCCCACAGAGGAAGGTGGGGAAAAGGTAGATGCAGACCAGCCCTCATCAGCCCACAGCTCCCAATGCACCGTAAGATATAGGGCACTTCACCTTGAAAAAGACCTGAAGTTTGCTTGTGGAAGTGGGTGCTGGAACAGTGGACGCTCGAGTTATGTGAAGAGGCGCGGTTTTCTGTCAGATGAAATGGTGCATAAGCAAACACAAAATTTGTGTTATGCTCAAATTGTTCCCAAATATATCAATCCCAGTGGAATAAATTCGCATTTTTCAAAACAAGCATGATAGAAGAACTGACTCTATGTTCTTTTCAGACTAGAGAAGATTCACAGAAGCCATTTTCCCTGGACACAAGAGGAGCCAGAGGAGGGATTTATGTGGTTAACAATAAACATACAGGTTTTACCGCCCCTTTCTCCCCATTCTTGGAATCAGAGGACACAGTGCTTTGAAGGCAGGAAGCCTCAGACATTGAAGGGAGGGAAACATATATACAAACACACAAAGATGAAGGAGAGGAAGAGCTAGAAGAAATCTTGAGGTCAACATAAAGGCAGAAACTAAAATCGACAAAAGGCAATTATTTTCCAAGAGCCTGGCTAGAGGCTGGATGCGAAGGTTTTTCTGCTTCAGTATTCTCTGCTGTTCCTCTTTCAGTCCAAATGGGCACCACTTTGGGGTGGGCAGTTACCTCAGCCCTGTGATGTTCTGATGCAGGTGGCTGGGTTTGTATTAAGGGCGAAGACAGTGTCTGACTTGGGGACGTGGGCAGGGATGAGGCAGCAGCCCCAGCCCTCTTCCCTGGACCTTAATATAAGCCCACGTGCAGAGGAGTGTCTGCTGACACGGAGGGCCAAGGTATGGTGGAAGAAAAAAAGAGAGAGCAAAGCCCCCCACCCCAGGACTCCTGGAAACACTTGATTCGGGTGGGGGCAGAGCACTTGTTAAAGCTCTCCAAGTTCTCCTTCCATGGCCCGGACCATGATGTAGAGCTCAGCCAGACCCACCACGGAGGCAACAATCACTGCGGCCAGCACCCTCTGGGAGAGAGAAATGGTGGGATGAAAGATACATTCACCGGCTTTTGGCCCCTAGAAATCCTCCTTTTCTCTTTCCTTCCCCTAGCTCTATAGAAAAAAAGATCAGTCTGGTGCCTTCCCGTGTCTGAGCAGGACACACAAGAACAGAGGAGGAAGTTGAGTTTCTCTCGGGGTTACTGCTCACCCTTGTTTTATACATGCACATGCACACATTATTCACCTGAAGGCGTGGCTGTCACCCTTCAGATGTGTTCCCCACGCCCTCAGTCTGGCACACGGCTCCTCTAGCCCAGTGCCCCCTTACCGCTGCCATTTCTGAAAAGATGTACTGGCTTCCTACATAGGTGCAGGTAAAAGCTGCTGCCACAGTGACGATGAAGTTGAAGATGGAGATGACCACTGCCTTCACCGACCTCACTGCGAGCCAAAGGGAGATGGGACAGAAAGCTCAGTGGCATATCCTTGAGGACTCCTCTGCACTGCAGGACACGGGCGTGCGCACATGTGCAAGCATGCAACCCTCCCCCCCGCAACTAGCTCTCCCTCAGAAGGGATCTCAGACAACTCAGGGTGTGCTCAGGGGGCTCGGGAATGGAAGGTGTAATCCATCTCCTCCAATGGGAGAAGGGAGGGATTGTGATGGTGACCAGTTTCCTGCCCTATGCCTTTGCAGCGTCTCACCTTGCCGTCCAAAATCAGCTAGAGTCCCATCACGCCGTGCGGCCTGAGAAGAAGAAAAGGCAGATGGTAGGCCAAGGCATCTCAGGGACTTTTCATCTGTCAGTTAAGATCAGGACAGAACATCCTTCACAGTTTTCCTCATTGCCAACTTTTCCCAACTAACCTGACACTCAGAGGTAGGTTACAGATCTCCTATCATCAACAGTGAGAGAATCAGTTTGTAGACAAGAGCACCGCCTCCATCAGGGCACAGGGAAGTCCTATGTTACACAGCAGAGAACTCTGCCCCAGGTTTTCCCTCTAAAGGTTTAAATGAAAAGGATTTTTTTTTTCTGTTTGAATAAGCTGGGTGCTTTCTCTAAAGTATCAGTTGACTTGGGTTATACCGACTTGGTCACTGGGTAGCTAAGAGACCTGTTGGGCAAAGGAGAAAGTGAGATCTGGATGCTAATCCCAGCTCTGACACTAGCTGTGAAGGCACACTGTCTTTCTAGGCTTTAGCTTCCTCACCTACAAAATGGGAGTAATAATACTTGTAATAGCCATGTTAAAGAATTGTGAAGAAAATGCTTGGTAAACCTTCTACCAGAATGTAAAATCCTTGAAGGCAGGCACCATCTCTGTTTAAAAAAAAAAAATCTTTCCCTAGTGCCCAGCACACAGTAAATGTGTTATTCAACCTTAACCTTAATTTTTCTGAGCTTCAGTCTTCTGATCTGTAAAATGGGATATTCTCTGCTTATCTTACAGAGTTGGTATAAGGAACCAAAAAAGATAATGTGTGAAAAGCTGTTAAAAAATTAATTAAAAAAAATGTGTGGCATTATTTATTCTATAAATACAGAGCCCTCTGGTGGCTAGAACAGACCTCTGGGGCCAAAAAGAAATAGACCTCCCCTACGCCACATCCTTCTACAACGAAACCAGTGGGATCATCAATACACCCTTTACTGCCACAGTTCCACCCAGCCTTTGTCGGGTCTGAACCATCATCTTAATAGATTAATTTTTTAATCCATCCATGAATCTGTCCTGAGTTTGATGAAGGTAAGACTTAATACTGAAGTGGTTTTGTTTCCATTTCAGAGCCACGGGAACTCTTCTTTAAACAAAGTTTAATTCTGCCTTTTTCTCTCCCATCAGATTAGGAAATCTTTGAGGGAAGGGACTTTCACTTCCCGCAGAAGACCTCGGAGGCAGAAGCTAGTCGTTTCCTTCCTCTATCATCTTCTTCCTGGTAAAAAACAAGACTCTGCACACAGTCTGAGGTATGAACCGCCAGCTCTCACCTGGCAAGAAACATTCCTGGTGATGCGACTATACTCCTCATTGGCCAACTGCACTTTGATCCGTTCCAGTCGGGCCACCAGCTCAGGATTCTGAGGCAGAAGGACAAAATGGGAGGCGTGAACTACGACCTGAACCCCTCGCACCCCCCAAAGTCTCACTAGCTCTCATCACTGTGTTCTGGATGTAACTCCTTCGCTTGCTATGGCTCTCCGGGCCTAGTTTTTTCTGTTCGTAAAAAGGGGTCAATACTCTCTGGCTCTTTTCACCTCCTAAAGGCGTCACACAAGAGCCTAACTGGGCTAAGGTTCACCTCCCCAGTCACCTCTGTTACCTACCCTGGGGGGTCTCACAACCTCGGGGAGATAGATTTCACTGCCTTCCAGGAGCTCATGAAGGAAGACAGAGGAGCCTAGGAAAAGAAGATTTGCAGAGTGACTCACAACGGAAGGAGAGCAGAGCCTGACCCCTCCATTCTCTCTGCCTGGTGGGGGCCCCTCAGACCCTCTCTGAACATGATTTTTTAATGAGAAGTGCCCAAACCACTCCCACGGAGCCACCCCCAGCACGGCGTGGCCACGCTGAGCATCATGATTTACTTCTGATTAAATTAAATGACTAACGGGTGAAGATGACCGGGAAAGATCGGAAGTTAAAGCACGATCCCTCGAGTTACTTTCACGAGTGGGCACAAATAACCGCCAATAACTAATAATCCGTGAGTCGTTTAAATGTATCTTTTTTTTTAACCCTTATGTGGAAGAGGAGACTCGAGTCCAGGAAAGGAGCCTCCGGTGCCCGGACCCAGGACTCGTGCTGGGAGAGCTGAGCGACGTCAGGGCTCCCTGGGCACCAGAATCTGGGGCAGAAAAGGGGCTGCAGAGGAGGCGGGGCCAGAGCCTTGGGCCAGACCAGGACGAGGACCCTTGCTCAAAATCAGAACCGTGTCTTCAAATGCCCGAGATGAAACACACGTGACTCGCCCAGGGCCGCCCGGGCCACGATTCAAACGGGAGCTGCAATTCGAACGCCGGCCCTCGGCGTGTCGGGGCGGGGGCACGCGCTGGGCCCGGCTCGGGACTCTCACCCTGCTCCCGGAGGTGCTCGTGCAGCTCTCGGAGCAGGCGGAAGGGCACCACGGGCCGGGGGTCTTCGCCCTCGCCGGCCTTCTTGCTCCTCAGAACCGCCTCCAGCCGCGCCCGCAGCTCCCGGGGCAGGCGCGCCGCCTCCAGCTCCCCGCCGGGACGCAGGGCTCGTCGCAGCCGCCGCCCGGCGCGCACGGAGGACGCCATCTTGGGTCGGGCGGCGTCAGGTGACCGGAGGCGGAGCCGCCGAGAACTTCCGGTAGTCCTAGAGAGGCGGCGGCGCGCGGGGCCCTGTGGGCCGGGGGCGGGGCGTGGCTCGGCGAGGCAGCACGCAGGGCCCCGCGTCGGCGTCCGCATCTGTGACCGTGACCGAGTCCGCGCGTCCGCGGCGGCCCAGGCGCCGACATGGCGGGCTGCGTAGCCCGGCGGGCCGTGGCCGTGGCCGTGGGCGGCCGCTGCTGCTGCTGGTGGTCCCGGCCGCTGGCGGGGGCCCGGGCGCTGCGGCCACTCGCGACCTTTCCCCCCGCGCCCCCGGCCGCGGCCGCGGCGCGGAGACACCTCTCGTCCCGGTGAGGCGGGGGGCGGGGACCGGGCGGGGGGCCTCTTTCGGAGCCAGCCGAATGTAAGCTCCCTGAAGACAGGGCCTGTGACCCCTTGAGTGCGGGGGCTGGCTGGTTCTCGGCTTTCTGGCCCCAGCGCCGACCGTTCAGCCTGGGCTAGTAGAGTGTAAGCTCCTCGAGGGCAGGGACTCTTGTTGTTGTCTGTACACAGTAATAGACAAGTAGCGTGTAAGCTTCTTGGGGGCATCTTGTTTTGGGATTTGACTGGACAGCGCCTAGACCAGTGCCTGGACATATAGTAACAGGCAGGTAGAGTGTAAGCTTCTAGAGGGCAGGGACTCTTATTTTGTCTGTACATAGTAATAGAGAAGTAGAGTGTAAGCTTCTTGGGGGCAGGGACTCTTTTTTTTGGATTTGTCTGGATAGCTCTTAGACCAGTGCCTGGACCATATAATAACAGGCAGGTAGAGTGTAAGCTTCTAGAGGGCAGGGACTTTTGTTTTTGTCTTTATATCTCCAGTGCCT